ACCGCAGGAGCTTTTCGCACTGTCTGTAAAATGGAATGGCATAACACAGTAGCACCATGAAGTTTGCATACAGCAGCAACAGGACAAAGCCTACTGTTAGAGCTGGCGTTGCAACAGTTGTGATCTACCCCCTCCCCTGGGGAGGTATCTCGAAGGGAAGGGATCCAATTTTTCTGATTTCTCGGTGGACAGGAAACTTAATCAGCAGAGTAACATCCTACTTCCCTCTCTGTGACACCAGGGTGCAACTGACATGCTGAGTTCCTAAAGGAGGAATGGTGGTAGAGGGAAAAGACGTCACGAATTAAACAAGGGCGAGACACTTCTTAGGATATCTGTGATCGGTAGCAGAGGCACCCTTTCCCCTTCTACAATCAATGGAAGAGGCTGACTATCTCCTAAGGACAAGAGATCAAACTGCAAGAGGCACACCAGAAGTTAAAAAAAAAAGAACAGAAATGAGAAGACTGGCCTGCTGGGTGGCTCAGCTGCGGAGCCAGAGGTTGGGGGTTCGATTCCCCCATATGGGCCTCCTTGACAGGGGGTGGACTGGATGACCCACAGGGTCCCTTCCGGCTCTGCCGTTTTAAGAGTACAGGAACAATAAGCTTGCAATAGATGGAGATGTTGAGGTAGCTTCATCTTATACAGTATCACATCACAAAAACCTGCCCATCACTGCAATCCAGCATCGCTGGGGGTGAAATCCAAAGCATGGGAAAAGAAACCACGAGATCCTTACTGGCCGCATTTGTACCGATATGAGAAACCACTGCTTGCCATCTAGAACTGCACAGAATATTTCAGGGCAAATCCTGCATCATTTGAATCTCTCAATCCCAGGTGGAGCACCCCATTCTCCTGAAGTTGAGGCAACTCCTGGCTGGATCCACCCGATGGTTTGGGGCAGCTCTTAATGTTGCCTCCACCAGGGAGTCACCCCGTTAGCCTCCCCCAAAACGGGTGCTCTCCAGAGTGTCTATCTCCCATTATCCCCATCAAAAGTTCCTTGGCTGTGCTATCTGGAAACGACGGAAGCCTTTCTGCGAGACACAGGGGGAAGTACCAAGTTTGGAAAAGGAAAGGACAAAAATACACAGCGAAGAGTTTCCAGGAGTCTATGTTTTTTAGTACCTTTCAGGACTGGTTGCCACATGCCATCAAGCTGCTTCCGACTTACAGCAACTAGAATAAGGTTTTCGAGGTGAGATGCTCAAGGAAGAGTTTATCCTTGCTGCCCCCCCCCGAGTTTCCATGGGCTAGAAGGGGCTTGAATCCCCGTCTCCTGAGTCCCACTTGAATGCTCTATCCACTAGGCCACATTGCCTCTACTGTTATGGAGGCAAGGCTGATCATTCCCTGTGCTTGACGCAACACATCTCCACCTCCTCATCACATCGTCTGACCTACGGAGCAGGAGTGAATCCTGGTATAAAGCGACTACTGCCGGGGCTGTTGCAGAAACGCGCCGTTCATTCTTCGCGTCCTTTCCATCCCAGACAAAAGAGTTCCCTCGGGGCTGCTGCAGAAACGCACCGTTCTTCGTGTCCTTTCCATCCCAGACAAAAGAGTTCCCCTGCCCTCTGGGATCACTCAGAAGCCTTTTCCTCCACAGTAATAGAACTAAACCCTGCTCGGCAGAAGTCCCAGAATACCCCGAGGCAAAGCATATGGCGGTTAATAGCATTTTTATACAAAAGAAGGAGAAAGACGCAGCAGGTGTGCATTAAGAGCAGAGAGTGACTAAAGGCAGGTAGTGGATCTTTAGTTAAGTGGCAGAGGGCAGGTTCACTGCATTAATGCGGTTACGTAACAGGGGATTGGTCCGGCACTGCTTTGTGTTGTGTAGAGGAGGGAGGTTTCCCTCCCTTCTCCATTTTACGCCAGGAAGGTGAGGTCACTGAGATCATTCTGCATGGCTGTAACAAAGCACCCAGGGCCATCAGCACCGCCTCTGGCCCCCCCTCCAACCTCTTGTTATGGGCATGAGACCCCTTCAGGAAAAAGGAAGAGGAGAAGGTGCTTTTCTCCCCCGCAGAAGAACGTTTATGAGTGTGTTTAAATAAAGTGAATAGAGCCAGAAATTTGGCAGTATATTTTCCTAATATTCATCTGTATTTTCACCTCTAGGTTTTGGGGGCCTTTGGCAAAAGCCACAGAGGCTCTAACCTAGCTACAGCACGGCCGTGGTGCCCTGAGAGAGCAGTGACGCCAGAGTAAGGGCACATCCAGACGGGTCCGGTTTATGCTTTAAAGGTGATCATCCTTACTGCCATCTGTTACATCCCTCACTTGATCAATCCCTCGGTTCACATGGAGCAATATTTTTCTTCCCATAAGAAGGGTCCAGACAGGTCTCCGTTTTTAGCCTGATTTGTTCCCCTTTTGGTGACACTCCCCTCCCTTCTCCCTGCCCTGCGTTGCAAGGGTTGAACTGCTGTATTGCAGCCAAAACTCTGCTCACGGTCCGTGTTCGATACCCAGGGTTCCAACAACCAGCTCAAGGCTGACGCAGCCTTCTATCCTTCTGAGGCTGGTAAAATGAGTACCCAGCTGTGTAGTGAAATGTGTAGCCTGTAAAATTTTAAAACTGTAAATTGCCCAGAGAGTGCTTTAAGCCCTATAGGGTGGTGTATAAGCACCACACTTTGCTTTTTGCTTTCTTTCTCCCCTCCACCCCATACGTCATACAGCAGGCTGCAGAGACTTCTGTTTTTGTTGTTGTTACATAAAGTAAGCGACATAGTGAAACAGCACTGTATCTATGTAGCATGGTAGACATCATACTGCAAATGTTTCTTGTTTATCTAGAATAGCGCTGCATCGGTAGGAAAATCTATTTTAAAAATTTTAAATAGTCGAGTAAATGAAAATAGAGGAGGGAGGATTCTCCATCGTCCCTGTCAAGGCAACAACCCACCAAATACATCACAGCGTTGTCACCACAGATAACAATGCCCAGAGTTCTATTTTGGTGCAAACTAACCATCTGCACAGGCTACAGAACAGGCTAATTAGAAGTGGTCCAAATTGCACACACACAAAATTGTAGCTCTACTGCTGTGCCAAAAAGGAGCAGGACCGCTCTAAAAGGGGGTGGGATGGATCAGTCTAAGTCAAAACATGAGTGGACACTGCAGAAGTGGATTGAAATTTCATTGTGTGGGCTATGAAGGAGGAGAAAAAGAGGGAAGCTAAACCATAGGCGGGAAGAGTCATTTTTTCTGGAAGACAACAAGATGAACAAGAATCTGTTTTTTAAAAAAATCCAGGCTGATATTAGGTAAGGTTACATCTGCAAGGAAGCAATGTATATTTGGAGAAGACTGTGAAGATGTCCAGTCATCCAGGTGAGGTTCTATGGAAGTCGAGTCCTGGCAACTGGACTTCTTTCTTATTAGGTTAAAACGTTCTGCTGCTCATCCAAGCAGCTTCTTCAGTCTGAGGAGAGTTGGTAGGAGACCCCCGACATCTCCCCCACCTTGGCTTCACTTCCCCCTCGTCTGAACAGGCTCCTTAGATGGACAAAAGACTGGGGGGGATGAGTGAAAATCCCACCTCTGCAATTCTTCTCCACCCACTGCCATCGGTCCTCAACAGTCGTTAACAGTGGCCTTTCTGGTGGGTCTGGTCTTTCTGGAGACAGGCTCCTTGTAACAGGCCTATTCAGACCAGGGGAAATCAATGTGGAGGGGATATCGGTGTGTGTGTGTGTGTGTGTGTATGTGTGTCTCCTACCAACTCTCCCAAGACTGAAGAAGCTATCTGGATGAGGAGTGGAACTTTTCAACCTAACAAGAAAGAAGTCCAGTTGCCATGACTCAACTTCCAGATTCAGAGAAGACGTTATAACTCTCTGGTTGGAATCTGATACACCAAATACAACCCGTACTCCTCCTAGTCAAAAAGGTGGAAGATGATGGGTATAGTAATCCAGCAGACTTGGTTGAGGAAGCTATTTATGCTGGCCCGGGGGGTGGGGGGGGTGGGGAAGGAAAGTCTCACTGAACCTCAAGGGACTTCTACAAATCAGTTCCTTTTGTAGTCAGCCGGCATCCCCATTTCTTGTTCAGCCAACAGCTAAGTCTGGCCTTGATCTGATCCTGAGGCTCTGGCGATCTCTGTTATCAGCTCCAGTGGGAGGGAACAGGATGGGGTGGAAGTGGCCCATGTGGGGGTGGAAGACATGGGCGTTCCTCCCACCCCCTGTCAAGCAATCTCTGCTTCCACTTTGCTTTCCCAGGACTTGAACTCTTGGCGGGCTGGAGGCTTTTCCTCTCTCAAGCCATGTGCAGAGGAAAAAGGAAGCGTGGGAAATTTCCGCCACTGCACTCACAAAAGGGAACACGCCATCATTAAGTGGGCTGCCAGGTGTACACTTGAATGGGGTGAAATCTCCCAGAATTTTTCACTCCCCTTAGGAGAGGCTGTCTCTCCCAACAGCTCCAGAGGGCCAGTTTGAGAGCTCAGGCTGTTTCAGACACAAATCCTGCAAAACGTCTCGCCTCCACTGTGAAAGTGAGACAAGGAGTGCTGTTTTTCGTGCTGAAAGTCTACAAGAGGAATTGCGCAAATTATCTCTGTGCAAAGCTGACATCCTTTGACTTGGAGAAGCAAAGCCTGTGCAGGCACAGTAAGGACTGGGTGACTGCTTCCAAAAAGATGCGTATAACTCATCCCTTGCTTCTAAGCCTAAAAAATTCCATGCAACAAGCCAGCAGGCATTGTTTGCACAATTCTGCCGAATGTCCTCCAAAAAAATTCTTTTCAAGATTGTTACAAAATACTCCACCGCCTTGTAGAATGGGGGGTGGCGTGGAATTGTGATTCCCAACACTCACATATTAAGATAAAACAAGCAGGGATTTATAGCTGCAGTAATTAACGGCTCACATGTCAAAATGGTAGAAAAACTCAGCCACATTAAGGTTTGGATCCCTGGGGTCTCTCCTCTTTTTATCTGTTAAGACAAAGTTCTCCTTAGACAAAGTCAAACTCACCGTCCTCTGGCTGTGGTGTCAGGAAAGGAGCGCACAACAGCGACCAAGTTGTGATGATGCTGAGAGACGTGGCAAAGGGACCTGCAGAATCCTGGCAGCTGTCAAAGAAAAAGAAATCCCTGTTGCGAATGTATTCAAGGTGAGAAGCTCAGCCAAAAGGCTACCTGTGAGAATTTGGTGCCAGCTCTGCAGCTGCTACAGCTGTGCAAGCATTACCCTTCTAGTCTGCGCTACATACAGAATCAGGTTCATTTTGCATACTGCGAAAGTTAATGGCTTTATACATGCATGTCTGTGTGTGTCTGTTTGCAACATTCCAAGGATACTAACGGGTTTAATCGTAACCCTTAAAAATGGTTGGTAGTGGCCTGTGTACCGTTATTACCAACTACACACAAATATATATACATATACACACAGAGAGAGACCAGCCCTGATTAAATTCTCAAATCGGAGACAAGAAAATCAAAGGTGGCAGGGTGAATTGACATTTAAAATATGGGAACCATTTGGAATAAGCAAGCGATCAAGAATGAATAATGGCATTATGATCGTGGAATCAATTGCATGTGGGATCTTCAGCGTGGATTCCACACATGGATGAGATCGCAGTCGACCACCAAGCTGTCCTGCTCGTGTATTTTGCACATTCCTGTGAAGCTCGCACATGGTTGCACAAGTAGAAGTTGCACAATCGCAGGAGTGAATATTCTATCCTCTAACGCCAAGCCATGGACTAAAATAAGAACGACTCTTTCCTCCTTTGGAGCCCATTCAAAGCCTGGCTGGAGCAGGGACGCAAGGCCGCTCCAGAACTGTCAAAACACAGCGGCGGCTTCTACCCAGCAGGCTGCAACGGCCCCAGCCAAGTCAGGCAAGGCAGCTGCAGCCAAAATCATGCAGAGTCAGTCACACTCTGCAGAGAACTGCAGGCTCAGAACATGAGCCAGAGCTTCATTAAGCCTTGCAATTAATTAAACTGTTAAAAGGCTGAGATGCACAGGGAAACGGGACACAAGCGTGTGGTACCACGGCTGCGATGATGAGTTGAGGCCTTGGATGGGGAGAAAGATACAAAGCAGGTGGGGCACCATATCTCGGCATCTTTGGCATGATGGCAGGTCCGGAGAGTTTGCACAATTTTGATGGTGGAGTTTTCTGGAGCTACAGAGTAAGGGCAAAATGGAGTCTAAGCAAAACCCTAAGCTTGCAGGCCAGAGTTCGCCTCATTTAACCTGATTCTAAAGTACCGTCATCAATATATGGTGTTGCTCACAGTGATGACGATTATGTAACCAGGGTAATGGGTAAATCGCAAACCTCAAAATGAGTGAAGAAATCTCAGAGGAGATCACGATAAAGCATTTCCAACAGTGTAGCCGCAACTACAAAAATAAGAACGTGTTCTGGTGTGTGGAACAAAGCAGAAACAAGGCGGGGGGGGGACCCACATCTTGCAGTCTCTTTTAACACGAGCAGATGTGCTGGAGTGAGAGCTTTTGTGGCTTACAGTGAGTCCACGGCCTCTTCTTGCGCCTGTCTAATAAGGAAGAGTAGCTTTCTTATTTTGCTAAGCCCAGCGCCTCAATGGGATTGGTGTCCAGGGTTAAGAGATCTTGAGATTTCAGAGGGCTGGATCCATTGACGATGGCTCCATTTCCACTCTCTTTCTGCTAACGGCTTAAAGGCAGAGAAATAAAGTGAATTGTACGAAAAGGTGGCGACCCAGTTTCTGGGTGTCCTGACGAGAGAAGGGGCTACCTTTTCCTGCCAGTCCTGGATGCCTTCAATCAGGATCACCAGCAGCAGCTGGCACTCCACCTGGGGCTGTTTCCGTAGTTTCCGGTCCAGGCTGATCCGGCAGAGGAGAGCTGCAAGAGCCAAGCGCTGCTGGTCGGGGTAGCAGGGCGGATGGGCGATCAGGCACAATGTCAGGAACTAGGAAGGAAAGGCGAAACCCAAACAGTGTCAGGAGGATGTGCCAGAACGTCCCCTTCGGGGGCGCTTTCGTACCAGCCCTTGACTTTCGCATCTGAATGCTTCCTGGAAAGACAGCTGCCATGGCTCAGCCAGGTCTGGAACAATCAGCGACAGGGCAGCTGCTTCCTAGGAAGGAGAACCTGTTTCCTATCACACTCCTGTTGGGAAAAAAAAAATACAGGTTCATGTAGGACTGAGCACTAGCAATTGGGCAAGCAAGCGATCCAGGCTCCCTAATCAACCCGACTTCTTATCACAGCCCAGAAATCATAGTTTCTGGGACTACAGCTCCCATAAAGCCCTAGTGGGCATTTCAAGTGGGGGTCTCCTGGGAGCTCCAGTCCCGGAAAAGTAACTCACCACCACCATGACTCTACTTCCAACGATAGCTTCATACACAAACCCCAAAACAAGGCCCAGAGGAGCCTGGCCCAGAACCCAATGGGATCCACGCCTAAGAACCAGGGAAGCTGGCAAGTCTTTGGTTCCAAGGACCAAGTCCAGCCCCCGAGAACCAAGTCCCTATTAAAAAACAAGCTTTCTGCCCCCAGGAAATAGGGAGGGTGGGTTCTCAGTTGCGAGTTGAGTCAAAGTCAATGGGAAAAAAAACCTGAGTTGAAGCCAACTTAAGTCCAACTTGACAGCAACTCAAGTCCTCATCCTTGTTAAGAACCAAGTCCCTATGGCATGCTTTCGACCCATGATTTTCTCTCTTAGTTGCATTCAGGACAGTAGAAATAATAGCCCTGTGCATCATGAAATATGGCAAATGCCCGTTGCCAATTAAAAGAGACAAGATCTGTCATCTCGTCAATGCTGGTACTGTAGTTCCCTCTCCACTGGAAACTGGAAACTGTTTTATGGAAAGGTGTTCGGCCGATTTGTCACTCAGCAGTCGTCCTTCTGGTGACAAGTCAGGAGAGGGAGGCCTGTGCTCAGGCAGCAGACACACCATGTCAGGAACTAGGAAGGAAAGGAGAAACCCAAACAGCCTCAGGAGGATGTGCCAAAATTCCCCTTTCCGTCCACCCCCCACCCACCCAGTGCCATACTCAAAACTGTTATCGGCCTGGTAGAAGAACCTGGTGGAGCTTGTACTCTGCCGGCTCGGTCTTTGAGAACCCAGAGTGTAGCCACATCAGATCATTACAGCATTTGGACACCACTTCGACAGTCACGGCTCCATCCTAACGAATCTGAGGATGGCCGATTTACTGTGCTGCTTACAATTTTCTGCTAGAAAGCTCCAGCACTGCAGTTCAGCAGAGTGCGCACCAGCAGGGAAGCCTAAATTAAACACAACAAATCTCAGGATTCGCTAAGGTGGAGCCATAAGAGCCCAGCAACAAACTGCAATGGCGATGTATCGTTGTTATTCCTCCCAGAGTCACCTCCCCATGCGGTGAGTATAGGACCCGGCAGAGCCTGTATCAATAGGAGTGAAAAACAGTAGCGCATCAACAGCCCCCCACTGCTTGATCCACCTGAACATTCCTGGCTCTCTTTGCCCACTTTGCTAAGGCTTTCCTTCCCAGTTATTTTGCCCGTAGATCTCGGGTTCCCAAACCCTACTTCTTTAGCCTGCTTCTTGCCCTTTCATCCAGCCCCTGTTATCAAGGAGGCCCAGTGGGGGAATCAAACTCCCAACCTCTGGCTCCACCGCCAGAGACCTAACTCACTGAGCTATCCAGCCAGCTGTTCAAAATATATGGAGCTTGAAAAACAATTAACATGTAATGTAAGGAAGGGAAGAACAGGACAGTTTCCCACTTGGTGTTATCTGCACACAATGTTGCAGCGTGTCCTGACCTACAACCTGGACAGAGCTCAGCGAGGTTCTGTTTGCAAACTATAAATCAATTCTGGCAGCTGCAGTCCAACAATGGAACGCTGCCAAGCCATAAATGGGATTTCAGTTTCCCAAGCTGGCGAGAGGCACCTGTTGTGCACACTCCCATCAAGAGGACTATACTGCTCCAACCCTCAAGCTAGGAGGGACTAGGAGACCTCGTGCAAACATCCAGGGGCCGTAAGCTGCTGACCAACTCTACTAAGTTCCAGTATTTGCCTACATCAATTACGTGCCTCATTCCCACTCCATCAAGCTGTCTTTAAAGGGAAATGGAAGGCACTGCACAGCTCTTCTTTTCTGGTTTTCAGGGCCCCACTATCCAAGATAACTGCTTCCCCAACTAGAAGGGGTGCACCCTGAAAAGGAAAACATGGTCTGTTTATTCTAATACAAGCTTGCTTCGGTCTGTGTTTGGCAAATCAGTTTGCTTTTGCTTTGCAGCTGGCCAGCTGGGAGATAGCATGCTTTCTTCTCCTTTTTTTGCATATGGAGTGTCTCAGGTGTAGTAGCACCGAAAGATCTATACTGCCCAAAGGGATGAACTTTGCAAGGGGAGGGAACAGTTATGCCTTAATATGTGACTGAGCCCTTTAAAAGAGGCAGGCTTTTCACACCCCTGCACGGCTGCTCCCAAACGTAAACATGAAGAAAAATACCAGTTCTGTGCCATAGTTTGGAAAAGTTACCCTTTTTAGCCTACGGATCTCAGAACCCCAAGCCCAGCATGTCCAGGTGTCAAGTTCTGGAAATCATCCTTTCCCAACGGGAAGCCATGTTCCAGATGTAGCTGGACCCAAATAGTTCCAGAGCCAAAGGTCTACCAAAGATAGGCCCTGGGTGTACAATCTCAGCGTGGTTTCCCCGAGGCCAGGTTCCCTGAATAGCACCTACATGTTGTCGAGCAGAGATCGGCTGTTTCTGCCGCTCCACTGCCACTTACTACCTCTGCCTTCCATCTTCCTAATCCTCTGTTTTGTCATACACATACTCATCTCCGTGGCAGATAATTGTAATGCCGCTAACCAGGGGATTAGGATTTTCAAGAAGGGAAAGCGCAGCTGAAATCGGCACTGCCCGAAAGTGTCGGCGCTACCTCTTGTACGGTTAACCCCCGCGGTGCGAAAGCCAGAGATCTGAACATGCCAAGAAAAATGCCGCAAGGACCAATGGTCCAGGGTGTTTGTGGGGCAGAGGCAGAACTTGGTTAAAACTTAAGAGAGAGGAGCTGCGTGGAGAAGGGCTGGGTTTGGTGGGCATAATGTTTTGATTGTCGCTATGAAACCACGACCGGAGTGCCTGCTACACGCCATTAGTCAAACTTCGGTTGCAGGGCCCGGATCCGGTTGTTCCAGAAGAAAAGACACGGAGGTTTCACAGCTAGAGCTGGAGGAACCTTCACATTAGCTCAGGGGAAGTTCCTCCTTTAAGGAAGTACTCCTGTGGGAATCTCCTTGGTACCACTCTCGCACCATCAAAGACCTCGGGTGCCGGAAGCCCAATAAATTATGAAAAGCAAGCTGGCCTCCGTAGGCTTTCTTGCCTTGAACCCGATTGTTCCTCACAGCCGTCATGTTTCACTTCCCAGAAAGCGGAGTTTTAGGCATTGGGTTGGCCACGTAGGAGGCCACGGCTGGCCTAAGGGGCAGAACACAAGCTCTCTGAATTGACCGGCTAGCCATGCTTCTTGCATCATGCTGGTTTCTAGCTTTGAATCATCAAAGCTCTTTTCTCATGAGCCCTATCTCAGTAGACCGTCAGAACATGAAAAGCACACACTGGACACACCCAGCTTCTGCTGAAATGTGGGAAAACATCAGTGCTTTGAGCTTGATCCTGGAGGGGATGATGGTCCACGTGCTGCCAAAGCAGGGAGTGTGTTTCCAAACTGAGCTCTCCTTTATGGAACTGGATGTTGCCAGACGCCTACCTTAAATATACGTCTCAACATCACTGCCAAGATGAGCCGGCAAGGAGTGTTTTGAAGGGGACCCTCTTGGTCGATGCCGGCAGATCGAAAAGGGTGCTCCTGAAACCTGGAAGCAGAGGGAGGAAGCAGTCAGCAAAGGAACACCAAGGGCAGTCGTTCACATTTGCTGGTCCCCGAGGCAGAACATCTAAACAGCTCTTCTCCTGTGCAAGGAATATGGGACACAGGTCCTGCCTGGCAGATGGTTATGTTCTGGTTACAATGGTCTTTGTTAGGCAAAAGCGGTGCATCATCGGTGAATAAATGAACAGGAGGAAGAGAAGACAAAGACTGGATAGTCTGATTAATAATGACCAATTATTAAAAAAAGAAAAATCTGGGGTTATGTAGGCTTCTCCTGAACGGAGGGGGGGGGGGAGAGTGACCTTTGCGGTTCAGAGGATGGCTGTGATGATCAGAGCTTCGTAGTGTTGTAATTAATTCCCTTTCCCCAGCAACAGAACTACAACTAACCTGCACTGCTGTTGTAACTTAACAAGAGAAAATGTTAGATTTTATATATATATATATATTGCATGAAACCATAACTTTTTAAGGTACTTTCGCAGTCATGGAGGGATGACCAACAAGGGAAAATGTTATATATATATATATTTGCATGAAACCATAACTTTTTAGGTACTTTCGCAGTCATGGAGGGATGACCTTACTAAAATGGTGCAGGAAAAATGTTACAGAGCTGAAGCACTGACTTGTGCATGCAGATGCTGTTTTCATAAGTAACTTAATTGCAACCATTTTAATTACTTTTACATAACAGGAAATAAAGAAGTTTGTTTTAACAAATTGTAACTCTAAAGGCAACTGATTACTTTGACAGAACAATAAGGATAACTAATTCCTGTGTTTTCCAAAAGCAGCTGGCCACGCTCTGATGAGGGCTGTGTTCAAACACTTTGCCCTTGATGTGTGCTATGGCAGAACGATGAAAACAGATCCCAGCACTTCGCTCTTGTTTTATCGCAGGCTCAGCTCCTGCAAAGCAAGCTTTGTCTAAACGTAAACCTGTTGCACACGGAAACCCCATGGCCTGCCCTGGCTGTCACCAGTCAAAAAACCAGGACCACCGCGGTAATACCACAATTTTTTCTCTCTTCGGGAGATGAAGGGAATCCAGCTGAGCAAACTCACCATAACTGAGCTTTTGGGACTTGTCTTAACCCCCCACCACCACCACCACTGCTATCTCCTCCCCAGAACCGCTTAAGCCTGGCCTGTTGCCAGCTGCTATTTTGAGAAATAACTTCATCCTGTCCCAAGGGGCGGAGAGGAGGGGGAGAAAACTTCCAGCACCCCGCTTTTCATCATGGCGGCGTGAAGCAAAAGGTGATTTCATGCCTCTGCTCCAGATTCTGCTCAGCTAATCGGAGGAGGGATGGGGGGAAGCAACTTACTTCTGAGCTCTTCTCCCCCCCCCGCCCTTGTTCCCATTAGAAACCTTCAATTTCTCAGCCGTCTGAAATGGCTCTGGGCTGAAACCGAACCCGCGGGATCACATGGGACTTCGACTCCCGCCCTTCTCCTCTTTTATTTATTTCTCCCTTCTTCGTAAGTCAGTAAAAGTGATTTTTAAAAAGGCCCCTCTCCCGCTCGCTCTCCCGCTCTCTTTTATTAAAAGGCTTTCAGCTCAAAAATCTGACCTACATTGAAGACTGTATAATTTAATCAGGATGAAAGAAAAGTTCTCTCATTTCTTAATACCACATTTTTAACTCTTGCCATCCTGTTGGTGAACATTCGGATCCAAACAAGGGCGGGTGTTGTTATCCTCTTGGAAATAACTCACAAACACACACATACACACACACACCAGCCTGACTTTCAACTTTGATTTATACCAGAGCAGAGGCATTTTCACACATGAAGTTTAAATAAGCGTGTAATAGGAATCTCAACCCTACTCTGGTTAGCATGTGTTCCTTATCTGTCCATGTAAGCCAGCTCCCAAGACCCAGGCTCTCTGTCTCAGAATTCCTTATCACACTTTAGCGTGACCAAGGAACAAAAATCGGAATGGGATTATATAGATAAGAACTTCCCGGGCTCCCAAGCCCGTCAGAACAAAGTATTAGGTGGGGAGGGGTGGTATAACATCTTCCATTCCAGATTCACTGGGAGCACAATCACAGTGGTAGCTAGCCCCAAATGTTCCCTCAAAAGGACTAAAACTACATGCAAAATTACATTAGCAATTTACACTGGGAAAACCTTGCAGTTATCTTTTTATGCATGTATTTATTTATTCAAAATATATATTTTTTAAACCTCATCTTTCTCCTTAGGAAGAACCCGAGGAGGTTTAGGTAAATATTATCGGACAATGTTTATCAACTAAAAATAGTATGCATAGAAATATTTTAAAGGAATCAATCAAACACCACAGTAAAAAGGGTAAATAAAGTCAACACCAAGAACAAAGTCAAAGCAGTAAGGCACAACAATCCATTTAAAAAACTTCTCTCAGAAAGCCAATCACTCAGGGAAATCTTGCCGGAAGAGAAAAGTCTTTGCCTGCTGTGGAAAGACAGCAAAGATGGGGCCAGTCTGGGCTCCAGTGGAAGGGAGTTCCAGAGTCTTGGTACAGCCATGGAGAAGGCCCTCAAGCCATGTTTCCATCAAACACACCTGTAAAGTTGGTGTGACCAGTAGGCAAAGAATAAACAGCCACACAAGAACACAGAATACAACCCATGTTTCCACCAAACACACCTGTAAAGTTGGTGTGACTAGTAGGCGAAGAATAAACAGCCACACAAGAACACAGAAAGCTGCCACTAAAGCAAACCACTGACTCTTGCTCTCTCTCTCTTCTTTCCCACATCAACAACATTCACCCATTACATAAACAGTGTAAAAAAAAAACCTCAGTGGAGTTTTTAATGGAGTGCTTGAAGTGCAGCATAAGGGGGAGAGTTTAATTTGGTTCATCTTTTAATCAAAACCTTTTTACATATTCCAAATCAGTATGGGATTCAGACATTCACTTACTCCTGGGCCTTCACATTTCTAAGAATTTTGCAACACAGCTCTCCAAACTAGGAACGTACACAAAAATGTATCTTAAGAGAAAAATACAAACAAAAATGTGTTTTATTTGGGCAAAATGTGTCAAACAGAACTTACATTAGTGAAACTTGCAGAAATGCATAGAAACAGATAAAACCAGGGAAATGCACAGAAAAGGCACATAAGGTGTTTTGTGAAGACATTTTTAAGAATAAACGCACAGTGATGTGGAAAAAGCATGGAATGAGCGGAAACCGGTGAAAACCAAGGTTGACAAATGTATTCAACTCTAATCTAAAATGGGGGCAACTGTCTTCATGCCAGTTGTGGTACCTTTTTAGACCTGTTAGTCGTGCCAAGCTTGAGAACGATCTTCTTTAGACGAGTCCCCAACCGAGGGTTGGCTGGGGGATTCTGGGAGCGGTTTTTTTGTTTTATCTTATTTTACTGTGGTGGGTTTTGCTTGGTCAGGCAACTCCCCCTCCGGAGGTATTAATTAGGAAGGTTATTCATTTGTCCATCATGTTTAGTTTTATCTCCTGTGACTGATGATGGCTTTCCAGAACTCAAGCAGAAGGGCCTTCCAGTATCACCTTTTTCCATCATTTAATCCTTTTATCCAGGAATACCAGGGGTTTGAACATGGGATCTTCTGCAGGGCAAACACCTAGGCGGTTGGGCCCTCATATTTCACCCAAATTTCCACACAGGTTTTGAGATACAATCTTAGGCAGGCCTCAGCAATTCAGGAGAATCTGGAGGACTTCTACAGTCATCGTCGTTGGCAAGCCTGACTGGACACTCACGCAGGTTTCACCCGGTTCTCTGGTGCGTTGAGGGGCTGGAAACGTCACCAACCTTCCAGCCAACTAGAGGATTCCAGCCTCCAGCAAAGAGCAATCAATGAAACACTTCATTGGGCTTGTGAAAACCATCCAGAAAAACACCATCAAGCTCCCATGGGGGTACAGTTGATTGGAGAAGAAGTGATGGACTATAGATGATGTAACTCCACTCTGGAGTTCTTGAGGAACTAAAACACGACTCGTCCAGCAGTGGGAGATCCTCACAATGTTTGAAAAGGAGGCTTATGTTCATCACATAGGCAGGGTAGCCACAGGCGAGCAGCATGTAGACACAGGTGAATGCATGGGATTTACTGTTGGTGGTAATGGAGGGACATCAGGGAGGAGAGACGGGGTCACTCCATCTCTCCCTTTTCAACACCCTGGAGGCTGCTTGCTCACTTGCCATGCTAGCTGCCGAGGGAAGAAAAGACAATCAACACTGAAAAGGCTAGGCAAGCCACTTAGTAGAAACTCTGGCCCATTTTCAAGGGTTCCCCTCTTTCTGGCCAGCGTGGAAAAACTGGCAACTCAAGATGATGATTTTTTTGGTTTCTTTTTGCAGAAGATGATGATTTTGCAATATGATGATTTTTTCGGTTTATTTTTGCAGAAACAGCACCTTTTGTTTGGTTTGTTGACAAGACTCGCTTCTGCCCATTCCAACTATCCACGGGCTTGCATTTTTCATTTTACTGTAATATTTATATTGTGCTTTTCCTCCTGACTGAAAGTCCAAAGCATTTAACAACTAAGCAAGTCTTATCAAATACAGCGGTACAAATAATATAGTAAGTGTGCTACGGTCGTGATTGTTTTCTGTACAGCTGGATTTTATGTTCCACGTGAATCCTGTGCTCCCATTGTGTTCTTTGTTGAGTCTAGTGTTGTTGTGTTTTTTTTAAGCGTATTCCCACAGAACAGAAAAATGTGTTTTTGTTGCTTTGAAAGGGCTCGGATAATAGTACCTCTGGTATATGAAGACAAAAGGTGAGGATGTAATGTGACCCCATGTGTGTTCTGTTCCGTCAACCATGGGACAGCCTTTCTCTGAAGCTTAGCTAAGAGCCCTACAACAGCTGCTGAGGGCTACCAAGAGGTAAAAGCAGCAACAAGGGAAGGAGAGACAGCCATGTATACACACACACAGAGAGAGACATCACTAGCATTTCCCTGATCCAAGGGAAGGAGAGACAGCCATGTATATATACACCCACAGAGAGAGAGACATCACTAGCATTTCCCTGATACACAGAAACAGCTCAATTCTCTCTTGCTCAGGTATGTGAGCAGGTGGGGATGGACGGGAACCAGCAGAGGGCAAATCACAAAGGGCAAATGCAGAGGGCAGGGAGCTGGCAGCCTGCCTGGGCCACTGGGAACAAGGAAGGCTTAAACAAAGCCAACCTGCCAGTTAATCCTGTGGGTGTGAAGCCTATCGGCTGCCAGGTAGGGGCAACTGACACCTGGATCTCAGTGGAGGACGATTTAGACCTTCCCAGCTGGGAAAATCTGGAAACACTAAGCTGCTGCCAGCACAAAATCTCTAGCTGGATCACAGCCCGCTGGGGCCAAGGTCGAGAGGTCAAAAGGAAGGGCTCGGTAGCCAGTTCCGTGCCCAGCGCCAAAGAGAGGACACGATTACCAAGGACTAAACAGAAACAAGGTCCCGTATAGCTGCAGAAATACTTTCCACGTACTCTCACTCGTATATCTGAGGAAGTGGACCGGACCCATGAAAGCTGACGTAAAAAAAAACCCAGCAGTTGGTGTTTCAGGTGCCATAATGTTCATTCTTTTGTTCTTTCTTTCTTCTGCCTATTTTCCTTTTGTGTTTGGTCTGATGCGCTCCCACAGACTTAACACGGCCACTTCTTCTAAAAAAGCCAAAAAACACGCCAACCCCCAACAGCACCTAAATATAGTGACACTAGGGGATGAAGGAAGCCATACAGAGAGGCCCTTCTACTTCACACTGCCCTGCTATTTCTCTGCTGCCCTGGAGCAAGTCAGGAGCATGTGACTGAGTGACGAAAACAGCAGAATCGGAAAGAGAGAGAAAGAGAGGAGGGACGCATGCATACACACATCTCCCACCACTGCCAGCATGTTGATTCCAGGCCAAGCTTGGAGACGTTACTTTTCTGGATTCTCCCAGCCCACACGACCAGCTACTTTTCCAAGTTTTGCTTCCAAGAGATTACCACTCCAACATAAAGAGTGTTGTGGCTCTTTAAAAAAAAACCAGCATGTTTTGTTCTGCCCAAACTTTTGCAGGGTGTGGATCTTGCTATGAGCTGCAAAGGCCTTTAAAAATAAAACCAACATGTTTTGTTCGGCCCAAACTTTTGTAGGGTGTGGATCTTGCTACGAGCTACAAAGGCTTATGCCAAATAAAAAGTCTTTTGCTTTCAAGGGGCCACACACACACACAAAAAAACAACCCACAACTCTCTTGATTGCTTTTGATGCAACAGGAACTGGGGCGGGCGGGTGGCTGTGGGCGCTTGGAAATATCATCAGTGGAAGAAGGCAATCAGCGAAAGAGGACTGAATTCGAATCCCGTGACAGGCACTGATCTGGAATCCTCTGAAGCACACATCTATATCGCTATAGGGCTCCTTCACAGTTAAATGCCATCATAGCGATTTTCCAGGACGAAGGTTAGAAAAATAATGGATCCCACCAAAAGTGAAAATCTTCTCGCTCTCAGGCCACTTCCAACAGTTTTTCGTATCCTTCTTTTTTTTAAAGGCTGTTTTTCCTGCAGTCTTCTATAAAGTGGCCCAGGCTTACTGACCACGTGCCATGAGCCACATCCCTCCACGGCGGCGAGGGTCCTGGCACTGCAGAGGCTCTCATTCTCTGGCGGTTTCATGCAACAAGGCCAGGGACGCCCGGCCCTCTTACAAGAGGCGCACACTCTCTGCAGTGGCTTTCCAGCGCATCCAAGCCCTTTGACACATGTGCACCCCCCCCACTCCCTCTCCCACCTCCGCTTTGTGGCACGCTGCATGAACCGGGTTCTCCTCTCCCGCCAGCCTCCTGCAACGGCCTCTCTCTCGCTCCTTTGCTTCTCCGGCTGGTTTAATTAGGGCCCTGATGTTGGTGAGCAGAAGGAAAGGGGAGGGAGGGATGATGCAGCTGGGTAACTGGTTTTGTTTTCTTTTCTCTCGCTGGGCTCTGGAAGCTGGAAGAGGTGAGTTAAAAGGGAGAAGATTTACTCTGTGATCTTCTCCCCGCGGGTTGCAGCTCACCGTCAGGATTTACAACCAGCTCCGGTTCAAAGAATGTTTGGGAATCAGCGGCTCATAAAAGGGGGGGGGGAATGAAAGGTGCCAGATGGAGGCAGAGCCCGGGGGGGGGGAGATCCCCTCTCAACCACCCTGCAGGCATGGCCTTCTATTTGGGCCTGTGGCCACCTGTTTGCCCGAGTCCTGGGCATCCCAGCAGCCTTTTCCGATCTATAGCAGATAAATGAGGGACAGAACATTCCACTTTCTGGGATTTTTTTTAAAAAAAAACTAAGCCAAGAGTCATGGGAAACCTTGAAGATTAATCTGTTTTAATTTCATATCTCAGGGGGCAATTCTTCTCCATCAATGGTCTTTTGTCCATTTCTACAGTACCTAAAAAAGGTACCAGTGAGCCAGTGAATTTTGCATGGCCTTCTGCTCAAGCACCCGGCTCCAGCTTTGGCTGGGAGAATGTATACGCAAAGGCAATTCCCTTACCTGAGAATCTTCAACCCCAGGCAGTGGGAGATTCACTCAATTACTGGCATCCTTTCCTCCACAGAAATGGAGAAAGGCAATTGGCTCTCAACCCCGAGGTAGAATCTGATATGAGCAATGCAGGCTGATTCTTTACATTTCCAGCCTCGCTCCTAAACCTTCGGCATTTAGACAGGGCTTCTCCGTCTCTAGCCCTCACCACCCCAAGCTCTGCAAGACCCAGCCTGATGAAAAGTCCTGCGCCACTTGAAAGCCTGCCTGTTTTCCACCCGTTAGCATTCCGGTAAAGACACCGTAGACAGCATCTTAAAAAGCAGAGACCTCACCTTGCCGACAAAGGTCCGCGTAGTCAAAGCTATGGATTTTCAGTAGCGATGTATGGAAGTGAGAGCTGGACCATAAAGAAGGCTGACTGCCAAAGAATTGAGGCTTTTGAATTGTGGTGCTGGTGGAGGCTCTTGAGAGTCCCCTGGACTGCAAGGAGAACAAACATATCTATTTTGAAGGAAATCAACCCTGAGTGCTCACTGGAAGGACAGATCCTGACGCTGAGGATCCAATACTTTGGCCATCTCATGAGAAGAGAAGGATCCCTGGAAAAGACCCTGATGTTGGGCAAGTGTGAAGGCAAGAGGAGAAGGGGACGGCAGAGGAGGAGATGGCTGGACAGTGTCATCGAAGCGACCAACATGAATTTGACCCAACTCTGGAGGAGGTAGTGGAAGACAGGAGGGCCTGGTGTGCTCTGGTCCAAGGGGTCACGAAGAGTCGGACACGACTAAATGACTAAACAACAAGCAACAACAAAGGCACCATCTACCCGCCTTTTGGGATTATGCAGAAGCACCACCAGGCCTTTTTTGTGTGGTTTAATTAGGCCAGAGTTGCTCACGGAGAAGTGGGGGGAGCACAGCCCCACATAAACTGTTATCATTTCTGCGTGGTGTTAAGTGCTCACAATCATCTAATCAAATCATCTTTGCATAATGCATGCGATCTGCATAATGTATTATCTTTGCGGTAAAACTCAACACATTTCAATGTGGATTTCTTGGGTTGATGTGCATAATTTATTTTTACTTTTCTTACTTGCAAGAAACCATTGTGTCGCAGTGTACAACAGTGCGAATCATAAGGAACGATGGGCTGTTCCAAACGAAATGGATGTGTCTCAACACTTAATCAGCCTGGTGCGTGACTTATATTATGAACAATAAGCTACTGTTATTGTTATTATGTTCTGAACAATAAGCTACTGTTAGGACAGAACAGAGAGAGAGAGAAAAAAAATGGTTTCCTATAAGCAGAGGTGTCAGACAAAGGTGAACTTTATCCCCTTACCTGTTAAGTCTGCATGCAGAATATATCCTGCAGAAAGCCAGACTAGACTCAGCCGAAGGAGGAGTGAAAATTAGCGGAAGAAACACCAATAATTTAAGACCTGCAGATGACACCCTCTTACAGGCAGAAAGCAGCAAGGACTTGAAAGAGTTTTGGTGAAAGTGAAAGAAGAAAAGTATCACCTCAATTCCTTCAGGTCATCCCCTGGGACCTTATTTACTCTTGAGTAAAAGACATGCCTCCTGCCAAGTCTAAAACCCAGACAGGCCCCCTTCAGTGATGGCTCATGGATTCTTGGGAGCACCTAATCCTCCAAATCTGGTGTGTGTGGGGCTGCCCCATCATGTTAACCTACCATCCTACTTACTGCAGATCAGGAAGAATTTATGCATGACCACAACCTGTTCTTAAAGTAAAAAGGCAGAAGAGAAATCAGTTCAAATTTGCTCCACAGAAGTAAAACGACACTCACTCCAGTTCTTCAGATCTAAATTCTGGCTGAACCAGCCCAGCGGGAAACAAAGTGGAGGAACAGGCTCCAAAATGATAGAAGGCTTGGATGATGTCTTTCAGGTCCGGGCACCAAAAATCTGTGTTGCTCTTATCTGCAAACAAGAGAACGATAATTTGATATTACCAGTTTCAGCACATGGAGGGGGGGGGATTTTTTTATTAATCGCTAAAGGAGTACCAAGTATTATAGGGAACGCTTTGAAGGAGAGACACATTTCTATCTGTGTTGTTCTAGTTTAAATGGCATAGCTTCACTCACGTATCCCATTAAATGGTCTTTATGGAGTGGACTGATCATTCTGTCTGAGGAAGCAGGCGCGTCCACGAAAGCTCGCATCGAAACATAGCAGTCCGTCTTTAAGGGGCGAAAATGTTTTTGTATTTTTTATTTATTTATTTTTTTGCCTGATAGGGTAGTTCTGGCTTACAGATTTTGGCCCTTCATACAGAAATAACAGCCTCCCAGCTTCCTCAGAGGGAAACACTTCCCCAGAAGAAACTGGGATGTGTGTCTCCAAGGAAGGATATCACATTGGACCAAGCACAGATGACACCAACTGTCTCTGATCATGTCCGAGGAGAAAACAGCTGGTGTAGACGATGTGTTCTGGGCTAGAAAGTTTATGCTTTTAGGAGAGGTGACAGAATACACCAGAACCTGGACATTTTAAAAAAAAACCTTGTTTTTTTTGTAGGAGCATCTAGAATTAAGAAAGCTGGTGAATCCTGGAAACAGGGACACAAATCAATCTCAAACACACACACCCCTCCAAGAGCTGTGTAAGGCAGCCAACATCTGCAAACCCACTGGGGACCGCTAGCAAAATTGGCATGTCAAAACCTTTCTTGGTTTTGTGCTTCTGGGCATACAAAGGTACAATTATACCAACATAGGGCCATTGAGGGACCCAATGAACTGACCTTCTGCTGAGTCAACTAGTTGTCAATACTGTACTGGCTGCCAGAAGTGGCTATCCAGAGATTCGGGTAGGATTCTGATGATACCGGAGACTGAACACGGGAAAGCTTGTGTTCCACTAACAACCTCCCCTACATACATTCATTGTGTTATTGGCTACTATTCCAACAGGCTGCTCCTCTCAGTGTATCTCCGACAGAGTTTTTCCCAGTTCTAGAAGTCTAGAACTGCACGTGGCTTCTTTGCATGTGGGTTATTGAACAAAACCAGCTCATTGTATGTGCTTCGGCCAAGGGCTTGCAGCTGCTGCCTACCGCTGTCAAAAAGCACACCAAAACCCACGCAAGATCTTATGTCTTAAAATAATTTGATACAGCACTGGAACCTATCCTGGGATCCTGTGATATTAGACAGGCTATTAAGTATTTTACATAAACGGATAAAATAATATACGATCCTAGGGAATCTCTTGTCCCTTTTCTGTTTTCAACCTCAAGTCTATAATCAGCCTGGCAAAGAAAGCACTTCCTGGTCAATACTTAAAAAAAGAAGAAGAAGAAATAAGCTATATCTGCATTTGCACCAGCACTCATTTTAAGCATCCTTACGGTTATATTTTCCCTTGAAAAGCTAAGACATGGTGCACAGCCCACCCACACCATGAGTTAAATGTCAACAGGGAGTAATGGCTCAGCGCCCAATTCTGTACACTTCATCTCTGTATCACGGAAACTACGATGGCGGCACTCCTTTTGGAATAACAGAGGTTACTGTAGTTATACATTTATAAATAAAATCTAGCTGCGGCCGCCGTAAAGGTTCCGTTTCAGGCAAAGATTTTCCAGTATTTTTTTTTCACAGGGGTGACTCTTTGTACCTCTGCTGCTTAGCTTGGTCTCTTATACTTTTTTTTTTTAAAAGAACTGAGATTTAGGAATTAAGCTTTATCAACCATAAGTCGCCAGACAGGTTTCTGCACTTTTTGCATTATGGCATGTTTGTGCAATTACTCTCGCTCTCTCTCTTTTTGTGGCTTCGCTTATGGACAACCGAGATCCTTACCACCAAGAAAACCAGAAAAAACTCTTGATTGTTCCTCTGTTAGCTGAGAAGGCAAGAGGAACAGGTTGTCACTTGCCCAAGGCATGGGGAACAATCTCAACACAAGAAGTCTCCCTGCTTAAAGCACAGCTTAGAAATTATTATTTTATTGGAGTAACAACCCTGCCTCTTCAGAGATAGGAGCTTGGCAGAATATATACGCTTTTCCTGACAGTTTGCAAAAGTTACTTTTCGGGCTACGATTCCAAGAATCCAAAGTCCGGAAGTCGTAGTCAAAAAAATAGAATTTTAGATAAAAACAAAACAAAAGTAAAAGAAAGAATAAAAAGTTACGATCACTTTTTGATTTGTTCTTTTATTTTTTATTTTTGTTTCGCTTTTACCTTTAATGCTTGCACAGACTAACATGGCTCTCTCTTTTATGGAAAAAAAAAAAGAATGTTTTTCAGCTTTGGCCTGAAGGGTGTCAGCTGAAAAGGGGAAAAGAAAGCACTCCCTGGAGCAGTTATTCCAATCCAAAGATCAATTTTGTACCACAGGAGGATGGTTCCAAGATGAAGCGCAACTTGCCTCGAGAAATATGGACCTTTGTGATGGCTGCCGTGCTGATCAGACAAATCAAAGAGGCACAAAATCATGTATGGCTAAAAAATGTTGATGAGTAAGAAGAAGAGGAAAAAGAAGAAGCACAATAGAAAAAAATGCCTACAGAAAATGCATCTCAGGTTTCAAACTCTTGCCACCTGATAGGGACGAAGGATGGAGATAAGAATGCAGGTGCTGGTCTAGGAGTTAGGGAACATGTACAGGAAGCATGCGCTAGGCGATGACGCATGATCAGGCACACAATCTCAGCCTGACTTACTTCACAAGGATGTTTTGAAGCTAAAGGAGGGAGCAGGAGAACGGTATAAGCCATGTTTTGCTCCCTGGAGGAAAAGGTAGGCATTCACGTAAGCAAACAAACAAATGCAAATGAACGCAAATAAAAATAAATGTGAAGGAACAGAACAGAAGCAAGAATTCGTATCTGTATTAGCCACTGGCTGACGCTCCCGTGTCACTTTAATGACCTCAGCTAACGACATGACACCATATCCTGTCTCAATTTCAAGCAAGAAAAGAAAAAGAAAGGATGGAGATCGGAGAAGCCATATCTTGCCCTTGGGGGGGGGTTGAAGCCGATAAGCTAGTCAGCTGTTCAGAGTGAGTCAGGTCCTCCTGGCACCTAATTGTCTGAGGGAAAACATATCTTTACCATCAGCCAAACCACTGCTTTCTTTGTTAGCCTTGCAGCTGTTATGTTTTATCTTTTTCTTTCTTTCTTTCTTTCTTTCTTTAAAGCTTAGCAGCTCCCCTAATGATTACTTCTTGGAAGGCAGAAGGGGGAATCTCCTTCATTCAGGAGGAAGGGGGGCACCTTTCCTGCTCCAGGGTTCCCTCCTCACCTCACCATTACCTGATGCCTGGCTGGGCCGTGTTCCCAGTGCAAAGCCCTTTTGGCTGTGGGGAGATGGGCGGGTGCTTCGGTGTGCGGGGCGCATGCACGGGGGGTGTGTGTGGTAATGACAGGGTTGCGGTAGCAGCAGCTCCAAGCTAGTGGCCAAGGGGGGAAGGTGGGGAGATGACAACCTGACCACGAAAGACCCCTCGTGGGCCCTGGCACGAGTGGGAGGCTGGGCGCAAGCTAAGAAATGGGTTCAGGACTTCCAAAGTTTTGGTTCCAGGACATTAACCCCCCCCCCGAATATTTTATTTATTTGATCATTCATTCATTCTGTATACCATTAGTTCAGTCTACAATATTGTTCTGAGCAGTTTACACAACATAAAAAAATAAGCAAACCTGTAATGGTAAACTAACGGTAGAAGAAATAAAAACAGTCAAAGCTACGCAAACCAACAGCGTATTTATCTGTGTCACAGCAGGATGAGAGGCGTGCAGAGTTACCCTTGGTGACCCCCGTTTCCAAAATCCGGCAGCCCGACGAGGGCAAAAGGAAGGAGCAAGCTTCTTGTCCTCTATGCCGGAGACAAACGGGCACGGAGCCCTGCAGGATCCGCATGCAAAGCCTCCCTGAAAAGCAGCGTTTCGAGCAGCCTTCTGAACCTGAGCAGGGAGGGAGTCCGGCGTAGCCCCGCCGGGAGCGGCTGGCGCAGAGTCGGTGCCACCCCAAAGAAGGCCTGACCTCCCAAGAGAGGACTCCCAGGTCTCTCCTTTGGAGTGGCTATCCAAGGAGAGCATGACCTGGAAGAATCTGATGGGCCGGGCAGAGGACACCGGGGGGAGAGATGCTCTGACAAGGAATGTGGTCCCAAACTGCAGAGGGCTTTATATGTGAGCATCAGGACCTGGGAGTTGAATATACCTCCCGGCATGGGGGAATAAGGTTCCCAACATCTGGGTAGAGATAAAAGAGGGACTCCGCCAGAGGGAAGGAGACACAGAACCACCTGGCAGGGAAAATAATGAAGGATGATCTCCCTGCCTCTCTCCAGTGCAGCTCCCTTGCAAAGCCGGCGAACCATTCTATCAGGGACGGGCTTGAAACTCTTTTCGGTTGTGGGGGATTTAGGGGGAGACCTGGAGATAAGACACGGAGCAAATCTGCAACACAGCTTTCAGCTGGTTCACTGTTGGGGGTGTGCGTGCTTTCTTCTCAAGGGAATCTTAGCTCGGGGAGAGACTATCTGAGCATAGAAAAGGCCATCCTCAGCGCCTCATCTGGCTGCAATAACTTAGATTCCTGCAGGGAAGCCTTGATAGCTCACGTTATTACAGTCGCAGCTTGCAGTGAATAACGCCGGGCTGATGTTATCGCCTCCAAGCTAGAGCCACCTTCCATGACTTCCAACAGGATTGGGGATTTTTTAAGAAGAATAGCAACATTTTAGTAATGTTCTTATTTCGGTAGCAAGGGTCGCCTCTTGAGTGCTGTGCCACGGCCGCGGCCGCTCATTATTGAACCCTGCAGAAAGCTATAATCTCCCCGTTCCATACTTTACTTATTCACCTGGTCCTTTGTTTGTAGTGGGGGGAAAAAAAACACCACTTGTTCTTTGGGGCAAAAATAAAGGATGAAAAAGAAAAAGAAGAAAAACTGGTCTATAATAGGCTATCAGAAGGGACAGGCATGGGCTGGAGCGCCAGGGGCCTGGAGAGGAGCCAGCTGAGATAATCCAGAGTGTGTGTGTGTGTGCCTGATGGGTTTACATAACCTATCATCTCTCCAGTCTCCCTGGAGCCGTGATCTTTTTAAGGAGCACTATGACAGTTAAGAAAAGGGATGTGGTGGCTCTGCGGGTTAAACCGCAGAAGCCTCTGTGCTGCAATGTCGGGCAGTCATAAGATCGAATACACGTGACGGAGGGAGCTCCCGTCGCTTGTCCCAGCTCCTGCCCACCTAGCCGTTTGAAATCATGTAAAAATGTGAGTAGATAAATAGGTACCACCTTGGTGGGAAGGTCACGGTGTTCCGTGTCCGTGCCCTACGGTCACGTGACCCTGGAAACTGTTTATGGACAAGTGCTGGCTTCTACGGCTTGGAAACGGGGATGAGCACCGTGCCCTAGAGTCGGACACGACTGGACTCAATGTCAAGGGGAACCTTTACTTTTATTACAGTTAAGACGGTTCCCCTTCCAAAATGGCTACGGCAAGAAAAAGCAATACACTTTCCCAGGCCCATCCTTATGGAGCTTTTCTCCTCCGCTGAAAGAGGCCAGGCTTTGGCGGAACAAAAGCCCAGAAGTAGAAAATCTGGGATGATGCATCTCCTGGATGTGCTGCCCCTGACATGACGTCTCAGAATTGCCTAAAGCCTTTGTGTCCGCATGCAACCTAGCCCGCTCTCCACATGGGTGGTTCTGAGCCGAAGCTGCCTGGCTGGATCTAATAGCTTCCCCAGCTGGGCTCAGCCATTACTTTCCAAATGTTTCTTGCCAGTGTTCCTCGTTCTGCGCAAGACGGATCGCCCCACGGTGAAGCTTATGGAAGCCAGAAAAGCCGAGCCTGGTAAACATGCTCACTCTTCCCTATGCGCAGGAGGAAAAAGCTGCTTTCCTGAAACCAGCGCTCAGAAGCAGGGAAGGAAGAGAGTGCCTTCTCTTTCTGATAAAGCCATTAAATAACCCCAATGCCTCTTAGCTGCTTTTGCATCTGCTGGGCGAAACCGTGCACGCAGGGCCTGCCCACACACTCCTCACCAGAGGATGCAACTTCATTTTGGAACAGGAGGCTTCTAGGCCTGTCGCCTAGAAGAACGGCTTCAAATCTGACTTGGAAGGACGGCCAGGGACCATGCCCACTTTTTTTCCAGTAGGGCTCACACAGGACAACGTCCCTGGTGCTTCCAGGGATCACAAAAAAAATCTGGAAGCAGCACAGAGGCAAGTTGGAGGCTTCATGTCATCTGTGAGTGAAAAGCAGCAATTTTGCTCTTCTTGTTTTTTGCAGTTCTCATTCTTCAAATGGTCTGAAAATGAAGCAGGTCCCCCTGGGGTGCAAACATCCAGGAAGAGCCTCTCCCTTCAACTCCACCCTGAAAGATCTCACAATTCATGCCGGCCATCCGGACAGCGCCAGGCCTACACACAATAAGGATTTGTCCTGATCCCCAGTCCTCCCCCTTCCTCCCCCTTCCCTGCGCCTCCCCCAACACATCTAAGCCTCTGACCTTGTCCACTCTTCTCCCAAACCCATTCATATTCTTTGCTTTACTGCCTCCCTCGTGCTGATTCATGCCAGATGTTCTCTTTCCTCTGCTGAGCAGCAAGCAGCCTGACCATTTCCTCCTCCTGTTTCCCTGGATCTGGCTTGCCGATCCCTCTTCCCTCCTGCATGCCAGAAAGTGTGCACTCTACTGCTGACTTCAGAGTGCTGAGCCCCCACACAAAACCAGTGTTTACATATGCGCTGGAGACTTAGGGTCAACTAGACATTAGAGATGGCCCATCTTTAGAAGAGGAAATTCCTTAAATGCTGAAAGCATCGGATTGTCAAAACACAAGCTCTTCACACACACACACCTCCCAGACTATTTTGGTGATTGGGTATAACAATTGGATATAACGCAGCAGCAGCATTTACAGCTGCAGCATCCAAAGTCAAGGATCAAGGAGGAAAATGACAAGCTATCTGCAAAATACAGTTTGAGCCTAATGTTCCTGCTTCACCCATGTCAGAAAGGAAGTCCCTTCCAGTCGTGCAATTTCTCCCCTGATTAAATATCACTGGGAAATGGACGGGTGGAGCCTGAGAGAAAAGGAGGCGGGGATGACCTCAGAAATAAGCCTGAGGGGGGAAAAGGAAAGCTGGGGTGAAAGAGAAGAGGGCCGTGTCCTGCCAGGAGCTGTGTGAGTGAGGAACGCTGAAGTCCACCTGTTGCAAGGATCAGCAGATAGAAACCACAGGGCCAAACCAGTCCTTCCTCTGCTGCAGGGGAAGGCCATGCATGCAGGGACGTGAACAGTTGCTCCAGTCGTGGTTTGTATTAGGTGCAGAGATTCTGCAAATTGTAGTTCACAAATGTTTTCCATCTCTGGGGTCAGAAATGTCTGGTTATGAAGTCCCTGGCAGGGTGGATGTCTGCTGGGGGTGGTGGTGGTGTCCTGCTCTGCAAGAATCCATTTACAGCCTGAGCCGTCATGCAACAGAGCCCACCTCCTCCGAGGAAAAGGTTTTGCAATATTAAATGTCTGACTCCTTAAAAGCTGGCACTGAACACTTTGCCATCTCTTCCATCTTTCCCATTCACCCCCCATTCACACACACACACACACACACACCCGTCAGCACTGACAACTGCACAACATTAAAATCTCAGGTATTTAGAACCTCGTTGGGCGTCTGCTGTTTTTCCCCCCACCTTGATTCCTCTCCTCTTTGTTTGTGGCACCACAGTTAATTGCCCAGATGAAGAGGAGGAGGAGGAGGAAGCAAACAAAATATTAAGATTCCCTCATCTCTGGTGCCAGCTTAGATATCTCTTTCTGTTTGAAGTCTCTCCCCCTCAAAGCTCAAAGCTTAGAAAGAAGAAGTGCAGGGTGTAAATGAGATGCTCACTCAAGTAAGCAAATTCCATAGAAACAACACACAAACACAGAACATCTAAAGCTCTCTTAGACACGTGTGGTTGCCACTGGGCATCAAAAAGCAAACTCACAATGCCCTGCAAGGTCAGTTTTCCGGTGCATAAACTCTTGCACAATATTCTCCTCCACCCCTAAATGCTTAAATCAGTGGCTTCCAGCCTTAAGTAGCCCAGGTGTTCTTGGACTACAATGCCCAGAAAGCCTGGCCAGCCCAGCTAGTGGTGCAGGCTTCTGGGAGTTGCAGTCCAAGAACATCTGGGGACCCAAGGTCGGGAACCATGGATCTCTATCACACTGACTCTCATGGTCAGTAAGTTGCAGAAGGAGCCCTGATCCACTGCTACGCAAAAGTGTGAGGCTGTCCTTAAGAGCCTGCAAAAACTGGAACAGCATAAACCTAGAGACGTGAAAAATCGGTTTGTCTCCATTCTGCTGCATTTCTTTAAAACCCACTGTCCTCTTTTCACAAGGAGTCTCAGGAGGTGTGGAAATGAGAAGACTGCAAAAACTGCCAAATCTAATTGCATTTTTTCCTATTCCTGGGTAAAATAAAAGATGCCGCCTACGACGATCAGGAGCTTCTGTGCCCCCTTTTTTGCAATCTTCACTCTTTCCAATACAAGTTACAACTTTATCTTCCTAGGGCATGGGAACTTTATCTCTTTTGGCCTACAGCTCCCATAATCCTTCAGCCAGTCAGTGAGCTGGCTGGGGCATTCTGGGAACAGTGGGCCAAAAAAAGAAAGAAAGAAAGAAAGAAAGAAAGAAAGAAAGAAAGAAAGAAAGAAAGAAAGAAAGAAAGAAAGAGGACGATTTCCCAGCTCTGCTTCTTCCGAATACCTTTCCACGTGCACACATACTGACCCGCTGAAGTGAGCTGATGAACGCTGATTTCCCAGAGGGCTTGGAAAGCATCTGCCGAAATATCCGGGCTCAGAGACATCAGCTGTAAATGAAACAGAACAATGGCATCAGCACCAAAGGACACCAGTGGCTTGGAAAAGTAACTGGTTTTGGGCTACCGCTTGGAGGATCCGACAGGGAGCACAGCCGAGGAACTGCAGCCCGGGAAAAGAAAAGGAATTGCTGGCTGCCTATGCAACCAGCCGGCTGGGAGGAAAAGTCAGAATACAGCTCAAGCAGGCAGGGTTCGGGAACTGCGTTTTCTGCAGCCCTTTCCCTCCTGAACGGACACCACAGTCCTATAGAAACAGAAAAACTAGCTTTTGAAAAAGAGCAGAGGGAGCTGCCCCAGGGAGACAGTTCCCATCCTCCCTTCTCCGATCAAGCGCCCTGCCAAGGCACAGATGGGCGCTTCAACACACAAGATGAGCCAGGCGAAGGCCAGCACACCTGGGACATACGGCCCTTGGGGCACCCCAGTTTAGAGGCCATGGATATGAAAAGTGAATCTACCAGGGAGCCTTCTGGAAATGAATGGCAACACCTCCCGGCCTTATTCATGCCCTCCTTTCCTACCCATCCCCCCTTTTTTTTGGGAAAGCAGAGACTTTCTTTTCACCCCGACACATTCTGTTCCTTTTTCTTCCCCTGGGTGGGGACTTATTCCCAGTCCTCAGGACTGGGCGAGGCAGTTCTATGTGTCCCCAGACGCCACCATTTCTAGTAGCAGCTCTTGAGCATGCGACTGATCAGCGCATGCATGTTGCTCTTCCTCATGCAGCCGTGCAGTGCCTGCTCCACTTTGACAGGGCTTGCACAGAACCTCCCCAAGAACCCTGGCGCAGGCTAGACAAGCATGCGCAGGAACCAGGACCCTCTTCCCACCCCACGCCTCCATCTTTTCCTAGATCTCCACCACGAGGAGGAGATGAGAAAGTCCCCATTTAAAGGCTACCTTTCCCAGTTATCTCCCAGCTAGAATGGAGGCTCCCTCCAGGAGGGTAGGAACTGCCCTCCAGGGGTGGGCCTGGTGTCATTCCCTAGATGTTGCTGGGCTCCCAGCGTTCCTCGTAGTCCAGCAACATCTGGAGGGGCACATTGTTGTGGCCTTAAAAGGGAACTTTTCCAAGCGGTGGCTGAGAGAATGAAGGAGCATGGACATCGCCTGATCCTGTTTGAGACTGTAAAAGGCCTTCTCCTCCTCCTCCGCCCACCCCGGCATCTTTTGATTTCAGCTAAGTTCGGCCTTACTGACCTCTCGTTTATCTACCTCCTGACTCTCTACCTGGGGGTCTTTATTTTTTTTCCAACCTGTAAGTGTCAAAACACCATTTAAACTTGGGCTGCCTAGCCTCAGGGGGTCTCCTTTCCCCATCACCTTCTCTTGCTCATCCTTGCGCCACAGTTTCTCACTGCTGGGATGAAACACATCTGGCTGAGCTCATTAGACCCACTTAACGGTGCTTTTCTAGTGGGCCTGCTGTGCGGCCGCCAGCACAGCTTTAACCCTGCAATTTAGTACTTGGGTGCCTCTTTCTTTGCGGCTGAAACTATTAGGCGCCTCCATTTCGACACTCTGCAGAGGGGAAGATGGAGAGAAGCACCAGATTTTTTGGGGGGTGTGTGTCCCCTGCCTTTATGCCCCGTTATATGGAGTGGGTGTGTGTGTGTCTTGGAGCAGCAGCAGCCGTTCCAGAGACCCTCCGCCTCCCCCTCTTCGTACTGAAGTGGCCAAACCCTCAGCAGCACAGATCCAGGTAGGCTGTCAACTCGGTTGATGAATGGGTAAGACAAGGGTGGTATACAGGCAGCACACTTTGCTTCATTAAAATAACTTTCTGAAAATTGCAAATTTAATTGCACGGTTAATCTTGCTTTTGAGCAAAGTTTTGTTTTTATTTTGTGCAACATTATTGGGAGGCTGCCCTGAACCCCATTTTAGGCAAGCTACGAATATTGATTATATTCTTTTCTTTTCTTTTCTTTAGTAACCCAATTCCCTGCCTGGCCCTTCCACACACATACCCAACCTGATGCCCCAAACCATGAAAAAGTGAGTGGGCAAACCTACGGATTCACATACCCCCTTTTCGACATTGCTTGCACCACGCAAAAGTGAGCTGTCAGCTGCCTTTTGTCAAAACTCCCCTACCCAACCTCAGGTCTCCCCGACGGGTGCCATCCATCGACCTGAGCAGCAAAATGCTCTCGTGCGCAGTGGTTCACCTCTTGAGTCATTAAAGTTTAATAGTCTCAATCCAAGGAACAGCGGGGGAATTTTTTTTTTCTGCCTGGAGCTGTGTAGGTGAAACAAGCCTATTGTTGCTACCCCTTCTGGATTAAGATGTATGAACCCACAAGCGACCATATAAATTACTCCTACGCACGGAACTTAAAAAGCTCCTTGCCCACCAAATGTATTACAGGAATTATTACTTCTAACTGCAAGAAGTGGAATATGAGAAAGAAAGGCACCGGTAGTGTCTCAGAGCTCAGCCAAACACTGAGGAAGCGCACGTGGTACAGCTCTCTCAGATCTGTATATACTGTATATATATACTGTATATTGTATAGGGTACAGCTCTCTCAGATCTGTATATACTATATATATATATGTATATGTATATATATATTACCTCCAAGGGCATAGGGGTTATTTGTTCAAGACCAGCCTTCTGTGTCACAACCCCCCTGCACGTGTCAAGCTTAATTTCTCTTCCAGGGTTGTTACATACAAAGATAGTGTTTATTTTTGTCAGGGTGGGGGTAGGGAGGCATTTTTGGTTTTGCAAGAGTACTTTTGGATGCTTCCAGGGGCAGGCCTGTCAACAGAACGAGAGAGTCAAAACAAATGGCAAGTCAGCCTTTCGTGATGTTTATTGTGGCTCCCAGACCGTGGAACTGCCCGCCACTGGAGGTTCAGGCTGGCCCCCTCTTTGTTGTCCTTCCACAAGCAGGCAAAGACCTTTCTCTCCAGGCAGGCTTTCCCTGAGTGGGTTTTCTAAAATGGATTGTCGTGCGTTGTTGATTTTGAATGTGTTTGTAGCATTGCTTCAGTTTACCGTTTTTTAGTGTGGCAACTGTTTGATCTTTCAAAGTATCTGTATGCTCACTGTTGTTACCTTTAAATAGTGTTGTTGTTTTTAATGAGGTAAGTGACCTTAGGCCCTTCTTAAGGAGGAAGGTGGGGTAAAAATATTTAAATAAATAAAAAATAAATATACTTTCACCTCCAGCTGAAACAGACCCTCTCAAGGAAGTGGCACCATAACTTCAAAGGGTAATTGACTAAAGTAATTGACCTGCCCAGGCCAGAATGTTTATCCAAGTCTATGACCCATTTTGTGGCTCTTCCAATTATTGACTTTTTTGTAACTTACTAGGGTTAAAAACAGAACTGACATTTTCTGAACTGCAGTTCACTCACAGGATGATTATTATCATTATGATTATTTCACTCTCTCTCCCCTGAGAAGCCAGAAACAGTGTGCATATAAACCTGCCGTTTGACTATCATACTGTATGCCTCTGTGCAAACAAAAGAATTGCTCGTTCAAGACCAAATGCTCCTCAAATATATAGTGCCTGGGAAAATCCGTTTCTCTCATGGTTGCTTTGAGGATGGCAGCGAAGTTCAGAGGGAAGCCGGAGGAGGTGGGGGGGGCAAACGGTGGCTCAGTCCCTGCTACGCAGACCGTGCTGGGGCTTCAGCCTTGTAGATCCTGCTTGCACGAGACCCCCTTTCTCCCCTCAGGATCCTGGGAATTGCAATCAAAACAATGGGATCTTTCCCTAGGCTCTGGCCAAGGTGGTGAATGATTTAAAAAAAAAAACAACAACTTCAAACATGCAGGAAAAAGAGGGGGATGGAAGGCTGGACCGGGAAAGTCAAAAAGAAATACATGGCCGGAAGTGAAGGCTGATGTTCACCGGGGATGGGTGGGTGGGTGTTATTTCCTCCACGCAACCGTTTCGCATGCCTCAGCATCCCACGCTGATAGGGGAGCAGCCCTCTTGCGTGGAGCGTGGCCACCACTTCCCAGGGATGCTGGAAGACATGGCAGCTTGCCAAATGGGCGGAGAGGGGAAGGAAGCCTGTCCTGTAAAAGCACATCATTATATAGTACCAGGCAGGATACAAGCCGGGAAGGAAAAGGGAGGTGTTGCAAGCTTTCTACTTATTTTTAAAAAGGCAGTCTCTAGCCAGGCAGAACATTGGAGGGCAGCCAGGGGTTCGTGAGTGGGCAGCAGGGTTTAAGGAGCAATGACCGCGCAGAGAGACTATAGATATATATATAAGAAATGGACAGCACAGTAGTTAAGGTCTACTGAGTTTCCCCTGTGGTGTTGCCTCCTTGAGATGGACTGGATTCAATGATCCAGCTCTGCAGCTCTAAGAGGATGATGATGATGAAAAGGGAAACACTTAAGAAGGGTGAACCCCTTCCTAACTAGGAAGAATAAGAGTATTTCAATTTCATTTTTAGTTTAGGGGGGAAAAAGAAAGACAACAAAGAGGGGAAAAAGTTAGAGAGTTAGAAGGACCTTATTAATGGCCTCTACCGGGAGGGTGGAGATAGTTTGTCTCCTTTTCTCAAAACGACAGAAGATAGGTTTCTTTATCATAAGTATCTGTGAAATGAACAGATTCAGGACAGATAAAAGATAGTCTTGTCCCTTCCATGGAACCCGCAGAACTCACTGACACAAGATGACAAGATGATGGCTCCCTGCTTGCCTAGAGAAGCTTTCAAAGAGGATTAGAAAGTTATGGGGGAGAAGAGCCTTCCTCAATGGTGACCGATGTGTTACTTGTTTGTTAGGTATTTATCCTCTTGTATATTCCCTTCCAAGAGGCAAATCGAGAAGGCCACAGGGATAGCAAGCTGATCTCGCTTTCTGCTTCTGAGTTGGAGACAGAAGCTGGAGGGAGCCGGTGGGGCTGGTACCACCTCTAACACTGAAAATAGTCAGCCTCTCATCCAGTACATCGCTCAGGTTCTCTTCACTTTATCCTAACCCAGTGAAATAGGTCAGGCCACGAGAGGTCCAGTCCACCATGTTCATTTCATGGCCTCCTTGGGATGAAAACATGGATTGATCTCCTCTCTCCCCCATTCCCAACACACTTAACCACTCCATGCTAAATGGAGCCTCCAAGCTCAGAGGAAGTCTACCCTCTCAGTACTGGCCACCGTGGGGCACACAGAACAAGCCAAGGGCTCTTGCCCTCAAGGCTTGCATGCGGCATTCGTAGAAAATCTGGCTACTAGCCATGGCTGGAAAGAGAAGGCTGGTGTAAACCCATTCTGTGGCTGGACACAACACAACTCTCCTGCTGGTCCTGTTGTTGGATGTGGGATCTCCCCCAGAGCTTGGAAAAGTTATTTATTTCCAAGGGAGCACTCTCAGGATCCTTCCTCCCTGCATGGGAAGGAAATCAAACTCTGGGTGATGGCAGATATATAAAACCAGGGCTGTCACTGTTTTAAGAGAGCTCTCCCAGATAAGCTTATCTGCTTTCAGTTTTGCAATGCAGGCAGGCGAAGCACGGAAAGAACACACTCTGGCACAGGGAGGAAGTGTTTAAAAGAGGTTTCAAAAAAAGGGGAGGGAACCATCAGGAGGACTGGGGGGGGGGAGACTTCTCAGTGATGTCACCCATATTAGCCAATCTGCAAAAATAATAATAATAAAAAAACAGCCTTCTCCCCCACCCCCCCAAAAATATTTGCATTTCTTTGCCTGGCCTCCATCCTGGAGAGAAAGGGGGTAGGCTTTGAACACAGCACGGGGAGCTTCAAAACAGCCTCCCAGCTCTTAAGAGATGCACCAGCTTTCTCCGCCTCTGTTACTGTTCATCAAATTTGCAAAAGAGAAAACAGCAGGGAAGTGGTAAGAGCTGGTTTAGGATGACAGCCTGCCTCAGTACATGACGTGCTCTCCATATCTCAAAGGTTTTGTCACCTGTGTGTGCATTTGTTTGTTTGTTTGTCTGTCTGTTTGTTTGTCAACCAACCCTCTCCATCCCCATAGGAGATCCGAGGCGGCTCACAACTAAAGCTATAAAACAGACAACATGCTTTAAAAATACTACACTGTATAAATATATTTAAAAAGTAGCAAAACAATTTCAACCTATTTTAAAAAGTGTTTTGAAATCTCTCAAGTTTAAGAGAGGAAGCATTCGTGTGATGACTTACTGCTTCGAAGCCTGCTTGAAGAGGAAGGTCTTTGGCAGACGACAGAAGGACAAGAGGGGGCAGCCCACCTGGCTTCTTGGGTCAGAGCACTGCCAGCCTGGGAGCCACCACCGAGAAGGCCCCGTCTCGCGTCCTCACCAAGCCCGCTTGGGAAGGTGAAGAAACCAAGAGGAGGGCCTCCTCAGAAGACCTTAAAAGCCGAGAAGGCTCACAAGGGGTGATACGATCCTTCAAACAGCCTGGTCCTTAAGGGTTCTTAGGTGATTTTAAGCACTTAATGATTAAACAGCAAACAGAAACGGTGCAGGTGAAGCTTTCTGCTCATGTTACATGAACAGAGCTGGAAAATATCCCCCCCCCTTAAATTTCTGTTTCTTGCGCAGCTGAAGAAATCACGGACAGGGGAGAACATCGGCCATTCTACGCGACAGCAGTAAAAACGCCCGCATGGCTCTCCTCGTGCTGTGCCACGTTTCTGGCTGGAGCGCCAGAAGCCAGAAAGGGACAACCACCAGACCGACCCCCGTTCGCACTTCGGACAATAGCTGGGGAGGACGGCCTCCCACGGGCCACGCTGGCTGTGGGGTATTTGGAGTTCCTGCCCAAGAAGGAAGTTCCCCAAGCACAGGTGCAGTTAGGGCAAGCTGAAAGAGAGAGAGACAGTCAGTGGGTTGGCCCCACTGGCAGCAACAGGCCTTCTTCCTCACTCCGTGTCGAAGTGCTTGGCAGGAGCAGAATCTTCTCCTTCCCTGGCATGCACAACCCATACCCACCCCATCCTTTGCGCCAGCAAATCTGCTTTCGTAGAACAAGGGAGAGGCTGTTCTCCAAAAGCGAAGGGCTTGCGCAAGTGACCAAACAGGCTTCTTAAAACTCAGTGATTAACCTTTCAGTGGATTAATCACGCCAACTGATTAGTGCCCACAGAGCCGAGGGGTGCCGACATGCAAAGGAGGAAAGAGTCCCCCCCCCCGCCCCACTTGTGAGCCCAGGGGGTGGTTGACCAATGCCACTTCCCGGCTCATGCTCTGTGTACGGTTGCCACCTAGTGGTGAGTCCTGCGACCTGCAAGCAAGTAACGCGGCTTACCTGGAAGAGCCAAGACAGGACGGGGCGAGGGCAGCAGAAGGAGCCACAATAGAGGGTACGAAGGAAGCCATCCTGGAGGAGCTTCACCTGGCGGGCAAACTGGGAGCTGCAGACACAAACGCGAAGGTGATTTAAGTATTGGGGGGGTGTATGATATGGTTACACCATCCCTGCAACCGGCCAAGACTCTAATGAGCACACGGTGTAGGTTCCGACCTGCAAACCAGGATTTGGATCTTAGTCCAGCTGCATCAGACAATGTCTGCGCAGAAGACGTGTGTATAGAGGTGATTGTCAAGTACATAAAAAGAAAGGATGCATGGAAGCGGAGACCGGCAAAGCTACATAAACCTTCTAAATACAATAGGGGTGTGGAAATCTGGCCCTCCAGATGTGTGTTTCCAGAAGCCCCAGCTGATGTGCCCTTTGGTGAGGGATTACAGAAGGTATGCCCCAAACATCTGGAGGGCCAAGTGTTCCCTGAACGTACAGGACATCCAACTCCAGACAGGATGGACAAAACTGATCTGCACACTCGGAGAGCAAGGTGAACGAGGTCAGAGTTGGACCCTGATGAGACAGAAGATGGGGAAATAGGCGGGGAGGAGGGGAGAGGGTGGCAAGCTACTGCAGCACTTTAAAGACTCACCATCTTATTTCGATGTGAGCTTTTGTGAATCAACATCCTCTTTCTCAAAGGTAAAGGTTCCCCTTGACATTTAGTCCAGTCGTGTCCGACTCTAGGGGGTGGTGCTTATCCCCATCTCTGAGCTGTAGAGCCAGCGTTTGTCCAAAGACAGTTTCCGTGGTCACATGGCCAGCGCGACTAGACACTGAACGCTGTTACCTTCCCACCGAGGTGGTACCTATTTATCTACTCGCATTTGCATGCTTTCAAACTGCTGGGACAAAGCGATGGGAGCTCACTCTGTCGCGTTGATTCGACCTTGCAGCACAGAGGCTTCAAGACAGAAGTGCAAATACAGGTCTTGCCTACTTAGACGTATCTCCATGATCAGGCCAGGATACAAGGAGCAGTGAAGCAGAATAACATCCTCTTTGTGTACTCCTTGGGAGGTAGCTTTTGGGCAACCTTAGCTGTTCCCAGTTGAGAGCAGAACCATGAGATCAAACGTGTCTTTGACCCGATCCCGCAAGGGAAAAGTTATCTCCCTAAGTAGAAAGATGTGAGTCATCTCATCGAAAGGCCCTTCCCATTGAGAGGGTGGGCAGGTCTGGAAACAGCCTTCTTCCGTGGTTTCACCTCTTCACTTTCTAAATTACACAATGAAACGGGAACTTGGAAAAGTTTCTTTTTTGATTATCATGGCCATGGAGATGGGAGAGTTCTAGGAGTGGTAATGCAATAAATAAATAAATAAAAAGGCAACTGGCGACGGGACTTAAGGGAGCTGGAGCTCAAATACCACCTCCCGATCAACAAGCGGGCCCTTTCTTCTCCTAGTCAAAAGCTGTGGAGGGCTTTGACAGCCCGACGCATTGAACCAAGCTTGGATTTAGACTTGGAAAGGGCAGGGCTGAAAACAGGCCCATCACGGTACAATCCTCACACCCAAACCCACATGAAACTTGCTTAAAAAAAACATCATTTAAAAACTGGCTGGCCTAGGTTGCCAGACAGTCATTATTCGCTGCAGCCAGACAATTCAGCTTTCTTATATCCTCCGCCATGAAGGCTAGGAAGCACATCATTCTTCTATCTTAACGCTTAATCAAGGGCCTTTTTCAATAGGCCTTTTTCTCTCTCCGACAGAATTTGGCCGCTGGGGTTCTTCAAAGGGCCCCTTCGTTTGGCATCCTCCGCCCCTCTCAAAGTTTGAACTGCCTTGGCTGAGAGTGTCTTGCAAGGACAGCTTTGTGCAAAGATGGAAACACATGTATGACAGACCAGCCTCTTTGCCTCTGGCCCCACCGCCTACCATTGAACTGTAGTCCCCCCCAGAGCATGTCTTAATTTGGCCCTTGGGCTGGAAGGAGTTCCCCATCTTTTACAAGAAGCCTCCCCGTCTGGCAGCAGAGGGTGGGAGGGACCGTTGGAAGCAATCTGTCGGTTCCAGGCCACATCATCCCTAGTGCTACCTATCTGGGTTGTCAGTGAGTAGAACTCCAGGCCTGAGTGGCCATCCAATAAAACTCCCATCGTGTAGGTCTCTGGCTGCAGAGCCAGAGGTTGGGAATGTGATTCCCTACTGGACCTCCTTGACAGGGGCTGGACTGGATGACCCACAGGGTACCCTCCAGCTTTGCAGTTCTCTGATGATGATGATGAAAATGTCAAGGGGTTTTGCTCACTTGTCAGAGGACCCTGTTGTTCTGTGCAGAGCGATAGGAAGGGGGGGGAAGAAACCCCTTGGACTTCGGTGAAAACCTTTCCTTTGGGGGTGGTATTATTATGATGATTATAATTATTATGATTATTATTATTTTGCTAAAGCAGATCCATGAGGCTCTCTGTTTAGCTCTCCTGATGCTGAAGGATGCATCTGCCTCAATTAGGTTATAGGTAAACAAAATATAAAAGCAGCAGAGCCGTAGAAATAGTAAGCCCAGGACTTCTTCAGAGCATTCATTATTTCTGCACAAGCTGTGTAAGTGAAAATAAAAGATGCAGGGAGAAGTCCTGGGCATGAAAGAGAAAACGCAATTTAGAAAGACGCCCAGCAGCCCTGCTGAAAGCAACTGTTTTTCAAATAAACCTTTCTTGAGCACTTCATGCCCCATATATATATATATATTTTTTTTTCTGGGGCAAAATATATTTAAGCTGCTCAGAACATAATGATCCGACAGTTCCCCCCCCGGGCTGTGCGGCTGTCACTCTGCTCCTTGGCTGCCGTTTGGGCAATCTGACGAATTTCTCCTCAGTGGGACGGGTTGCAGATTTGGAAGAGAAATGAGCTCCCGGGTTCTGCCTTTAGGTCAACATCCACTGGAGCGCCCAGATCAAAGCAAGTGGATCGTTTACTCTATTCCGCTTCAATCAGATCTCAGCTGGAATCCTGAGTCCAATTCTGGATGCCACCGTTTAAGGAGAATATCAACAAAATGGAAAGATGTCAAGAGGAGGCCAATCCAGAGAGCAAATGGTCTGAGAAACAGCCGTACAAGGAACAGGGGAGGGAGGGAGGCCTGTTTAGCCTGGGAAAAGAGGCGTTCTTCTTCGTTCAAGAGGTGGAAGGACAAACCCCAGTGAGAGATCTGAGGGGCCGCCCCATGGAAGATTGCCTTTGGTTGTTCCAGAGGCAAGGACCCAAACCGGTGGATTCAAAGCTCAGAAAAGCTGGAGGAACGGTCTGGACATCAAAAAGGAAGTTCTGACAATAAGAGGTGTTTGACCATGGAACCGACACCCTCGAAGGGCTCCCATCTCTTTGCTGGAGATTTTTAAGCCAGGGCGGGATGGGCATCTGTCAGAGATGCATTAGGTGTCCCGCAGGGAGCAGGGGTTAGGCAAGGTCACCTTTAGGACATGGTGCAGGTCAATAATTCCACGACTCTTTGAGCGCAGTCACACTATCGAAATAAATCTGGTGAGGGGTCGAGATTTTTGAACTAGGTTCAAAGTCATGTGGTTTTGAGGTCATCGGCATGTACATCCTCATCGGCGTGTGCACCCCCGTTTTTAAACTGTGTTGTATATGGGCTGAAGGGGTACGTGGGCTTTGAGAATCATGGCATTTGAGGCTTTCTCCTGCATCCAGCTGGCTGCCTCTCACGGCCACTAGCCACGGCTGCTAAGGAATTATTATTATTATGTTGTTGTTGTTGTTTTGTTGTTGTTGTTGTTGTTGTTGTTATTGTTATTGTTATTGTTATTATTGTGGTTGTGGTTGTGGTTGTGGTTGTTGTGGTTTCTTGCAATCTGAAATAGTGTTGCAACAGAATGACAGATGGGAGGAAAATGAAAATGGGGCTGAAACTGACTAGGTTTGTGACATACCTGGGTGAGGTTGAAACTGACCAAACATTTTGACTAGATCTGTACTTCTAGACTTGCAAAGGAAGGACACACACCCATACACACAGAGAGTGTGGAGAAGGAGAAGGAGCACGGAATGCACACCCAGAAGTAGCAACCCAGAGAGACACAATTTACACCAACAGAAGTGTTCATGTATTGCCAAACGATGCAGAATAAAGCAATTTGACATCAAAGTTAAAATAAACAACCCTCCGGCAGAAAAGTAAAATACCCTACTTCAAATACCCGATTCAAATACGTTGTTTCCTCTAGTGTAACCATGCTCTCTCTCTGAAATCAGAAATGTGCCCGACTGGCTGTTCAGAGGTTAGCTCTGAGAAGAAAACAGCACCATGGCACTGGAAGTGATGAAGAGCAATTCCAGACTCTCAAAATATCGCATCTATTCTCATCCAAAGAGACTCGCTCCTTGGATGGGGTCAGCCAGCTGCAACCTTGCATTTCATGGCCCAAAGGGAGGTGAACGGGTCCCCTGAACAGGGTCTCCTTGTGCTCCACTTCCTGCCTGGCTGCCGGCTTCTCAGTCGGCGGAGTGGCTCATCCCGGATTCTTGCTGCAGGGGATTCATTCATGTTGTCTTTCTTCAAGGGCCACCATCCAGCCTGAGCCAGGCTGCCTTGTCGCGCTGCCTGCCTGGCTCCCATCCGGCCCCTGGTTCCAGCCCCTTAGGGGGAAACGAGGTTGGATCCAGACAGATATGGGATTGATGAAGTGCAGACTGGCCTTGTATCATTGGAAACCAAGGAGTCTTTGTCCGATAATGAAGAGGGTCACTTAAATATAGGCCAGGTCAGAAAACAAATGCGGCGGTTGAGTCCCCAAGGAACGATCCATTCAAGGCCAACAGCACCAAAAGAGGTGGAAATTTTTATTTGAAGCAAATGCAATTTCAGAAAGCAAAACTCTGGACAACCACTTGAGGTTGAGGGAAGCGATGGCAAAGAGGGGCATGCTGGGAAAAGCATGGTGCTCAGGAGAATAAGCAATAGTCCATTGGATTCAAGGTTTTGTCTTCCAGTTGCCCTCCGTTCCTCACAGGCCCTTATTAGGATGTCCAGATAAGGTCCTCCTCCAAACAGTGCCTTCTCCCCACTTCTTGCTTCCCCCCCCCTTTTCTTCTTCTTCTTCTCCAGATCCTCATGTTGGCAAGACTCACAACAGAAGGCCCTGCAGGTCCGTAACAACTGTGGCAACAGGTAGATCACTACCTTAGGAACGGAAAAACCTCTGACGTTCCTCCAGGAACGTGTGCGTCCTAAGGCCCACAACATCAACCTATCTCTTTCACCTCAACATCAACGTACAGTATCATTTTATTTCTTGTGTTTCTACCCCAGCTTTCTCCCCAGCAAGCTCCAATGGGCTCAGATGCTTTTCCATCTTCCCATTTTGTTCTCAAAACAATCTTGTAATCAAGGAAAGGATTGGAAAGGAAAGGAAGACCTATTTTTTTATGCAAGACATTTCTAGTCCCTGCTGTCTCCACCAGGCTGTTTCCCCCCCCACACCACTTGGAAAAGTGGCTTCTTTAGATCGCAACTCACAAAAACCCTCGGCCAGCATCACCTGAGAATCCGGCAGTCCTCTTCTCAAAAAGGAACCAAGCTATGATGGATTGTTGCTGTTGTTTTTGTTCTGCTACCTATAGGAGAGTGACCTGCCTGTTGTCACCTGGTGAACTTCCCAGTTAAGTGGAGGTTCCCACTTGGGACTCCCCAGTTCAAATCCAACCGACAGCCCACCTCTCCCTTCCTACCCATCCTGCTACAGTCATGAAGCCTAAACCTTTGCCACTGAACTCCTTGTTTCTTCTTCCCCTTTATCTCTGCTTCCTTCTGTCCTCCCCTGTTTCCCACAACTTGGTGGGGCAAGAATCCATTCTCTCTGCTTTGCAAAGCCCTCCTGGGGCTCTCCAATGCAAACAACAAAACAGCCCAGATTACCTTAGAAATCAGAACCACCACCTTACTGTGCAAGGTACTGCAGTCAGCATTGTTGTTGCTGCTGCTGCTGCTGCTACGTGGACTTATACACCGCCCCATAGTGCTAAATCACCGTCTGGGCAGGTTGCAACTTGATTATGCAAGGAAGTCTTGCTTAATTCTATGCAGAGCAGGGAAAAGGTTTTGTGGTTCTTTTCTGGACTAAAATTCCAGGAATCTCCCAGCAAAGTGGAAATCAGAGTCCAGAAGGGAACAGAACAGCTGGAGAGCTCAGTGGTTAAGGGATGGTTGGGATTCAGTTCCCTACTGTGCCTTCCTGACAGCGGCTGGACCCACTTGATCCTTAGGGTCCCTGCCAGCTCTGCAGTTGTAGGTTTTTGGGGCTCTTTGGCCGCGTTCTGGAGGTTTCTCTTCCTAACTTTTTGCCCATGTCTGCAGCCGGCATCTCCAGAGGACAGGAGTTAGAACTCTGAACAGCTTTGTTTATAATTACGAGCCATTGAGTCAATTCAGAGTTTTAGCGACTCCCACCTTGGGGACTGTCAGATGTTTCTCCATCTTTCGAGAAGGATTACTCAGGCAAAGGGGCGAGTGTTTCCTCGCCTTGCTGTTGCGGACAGAAGCAAAGTCAGCACCTGGTAGATGGTCCCGATTTGATAAACAGGGTCCCCTTGAAGCTGCAAAAGCCTCCTCCATCCTCTGGCTCTACAGTCTTCCCCTTGTCTAACATCCATTCCTGCAACAGCATCCTCTCCTCCAAGGAAAGAAGATGAGGCGGGCTAGTGACTGTCAGGAACTGGTGCAGCCCACTGGCTTAAGCACTTTCTCCCTGCCCTGATTGGTTGGAGCCCAGCAAAGCTGTGGGTTCATTGTTATTCCAAAGCGGTCTCCACCACCCTCCTGCGAAGCTTGGCACTCGGGTTGCCATTTATCACAGGGATGGGGCACATGACAGGTAACCTACTTTCCCCGGCACTGCAAGAATATTCACAAGGTTCTGCCGTGTGCTGCCAACGCCCATGCAAATGAGGAGCGCCCCAGCCAAGCACAGGGGTGAAAATGCAACTGTCAGGGCTCTGGCTATGGTCAGGCCAGCGCTTGGTCTCAAGAACTGCCAGATAGCTCAGGGGTTTAAGGCACCCGGCTGTGGAGCCAGAGGTTGGGGGTTCGATTCCCCATTTGGGCCTCCTTGACAGGAGCTGGACTGGATGATCTAGAGGGTCCCTTCCAGCTCTGCCGTTCTAAGATGGTGATGATCATCTAAGATTTCTGCTTAACCACTTCCTTCTTCTTCTTAGGATCCTTAACAGGCGCTTTCGATACTGACGTTGAATCCGGCGTCGAAGATTTCTTTGACTTCGACAGCTTCAATGAGGCCCTGGAGGAACGCACATTTGCAAATGACCCTACTACCTTCACGTGGGCTGAAGAGGCAAGCTGTTCTCAAAAAGCGGGTTGCCTCTTCAGCACATGGGCAAGAAACCCTCGCCCTTCAAAAATCAACCCCTACATTTTAGTCCTTCAACATCTCCCTCTTCTTTTTATCATAGTCGGTCAAGTTACCTGAAAGTGGACAAGGAACTCCGGGTTATCCTTCACCCCTAGTTTAATAATCAAGGTATTGTGGCTTAGCTTCTCCGTAGGAAAAAGAAGTGTCAAAAAAATAAAACCAAATTAAACCTTCCACCGTATTATTCTTAAACTAGAAGTGTGAATCTGCATTCCACTCCCCTGGCGGCTCTCAGACTTATACCCATGCACTTTCATCCCCATCGCTGCCGCTTCCCTATTTTGCTGAGACTTAATTAATCAGCCTTCGCCATGTTCGCAGGGATCCACGATCCAACGCCGTTCCAGCAAAAGCAAAGAGCCATTAATTATTAATTCTTATTATTAAATAATGTGCCGGCAGGGGACAGGGCGACGGCAGGAGTGGAAGCAAACCTAAGCTGGTTTTAAGCCAATTATCACAATGCCCGCAGGCCCTCCGTTTTCCAGCGACGGAGAAAGCAATATAGAGTCGAGACGATTGGCTGTGTCCACAGAATTCAGATCACCGACTGGAGTGAAGCTAAACGCTCGGCAAGTGGAAGGCTGCTTGAACGGGGTGGTGGGGGTAGCCGCAAGGGCACTGCAGGGCTGCCTCAGAGCAGCCGAGAGCACATTTTGACCCGGCAGAACCTAGAGGGCCCAAAAATCCAGCTATACCAAGGAGAAGGTTGGGGCAGGTGGGGCTTGGGGGGAGCCGTCTCCCTGAAGCTTTGCAGGGGGTTGCATCCTGTTTCCCACGGTTTCAGAAAGTGCTTCAGAAAGTCTGCCCACATTGCTACAAAACTGAGTCCTGCATCATACATCCCAGGAAAAGCACCGGATAGTAGTAGCGACGGCAGCATCAAGAGCGAATCCCCCCCCAAGTGGGCCCTGAAAGGGCCAGGAAGGTCTGCATGAGGCCTGCGGGCTACCTGTTGCCGACCTTTGAGTGACCCAGTTAATGAGAGACCGTGGTCCAGGGGCTAAAGGCTTTTGATCAAGGAGGTCCTAAGATCAGGATCAAAATAGTTAACGAGAGACCGTGGTCCAGGGGCTAAAGGCTTTTGATCAAGGAGGTCCTAAGATCAGGATCAAAATAGTTAACGAGAGACCGTGGTCCAGGGGCTAAAGGCTTTTGATCAAGGAGGTCCTAAGATCAGGATCAAAATATAGGCAGCTGTTAATAATAAGAATAACCCTGGAACTGCAGAGCGACAGATCATCAAGTCCAGCCCCTCTGTTCTTGCTCTTGAATCTACTTCTTTCTCATGGGACGTAAGGCAGATGCTACACTCCGTCCTCTCAATGTAGTTAGATTTATATCCGCTAAAAAGACTGCCTGGGTAATAATCCCTTACCTAGGCTGTATGACCTCCGACTGCACATGGGGATATCACAAGATGGACCTCCCTTCATATTAACAACAACAACAGCAACAACCCCCTACCTGGAGAAAAGCTCAGGAAGAAGCTGAATTAGGATCCCTTTGCTCTGACACAGTGTTGTTGTTGTTGTTTTATGGGGATATCACATGATGGACCTCCCTTCATATTAACAACAGCAGCAACAACACCCTACCTGGAAAAAAACTCAGGAAGAAGCTGAATTAGGATCCCTTTGCTCTGACACAGTGTTGTTGTTGTTGTTTTCATGTGAAGGAATCTTTTCCACACAGAGGAGCACGGAGGGAGCGCCATGCGCCACGTAAACATTGCATGGCTCAGTCAGCAACCACCAAATGTGGCATTTGGTCACTGCCTCTCTATAGGGAGAAGCCACAGGTAGCTTCAGGCCCGTGGATTGCTATTTTATTTCTTTACATAAAATAATTTTACCCCAGCCTTTCTCTGTGAAAGGACCCAAGATGGGTTATGCCATCATCATCATGTGCTGTCAAGTCAATTCGGACTTAAAGGCAATTTTTTTTCATGGTTTCCAAGGGAGACAGTACACAGAAGGGGTTTACCATTCCCTTTTTCTGGTGGCACATCTGGGACCGTGCAGCTGGCCCAAGGGGACCCAGGCTGGCCCTTCCCAGTGAGGGAATCGAACTCCGGCTCTGCAGCCGGAGACCCAAACCTATCCAGCCAGCTCAGGTTACGCTATACCCAACAGCTAACACACGAAACTCACCTGAAGAAAAGGTGCTCCAGCTGATTCCGTGGCTTCCAAACCTATTCAGCCAGCTCAGGTTACACTATACCCAACAGCCAACACAGGAAACTCACCTGAAGAAAAGGTGCTCCAGCTGATTCCGTGGCTTCAATCCAGAAGCGTCCAGGGCCACGGGAGTCCTCGGGTCGTAGCCGGGCGGCCCAAAAATGTTTTCACCAGGGTGCACCGCTGGGATTGTGTCACGAGGGATGGAAAACTGTTCAAGGATCAATCTGGGAGGGGAAAAAATAGTAGTCTTTTAAAAACAGCTCTTCCGAGAAGAAGAGAGAGACAGACAGACAAACCAAGGGAGGCAGAGGACAGAGAATAAATCATCGTTCCTGGAGCACTCCTTCTTTATGGGGGGGGGGGGGGNNNGATGGACCCACCTGGGCTTTGACACAGAACACCTGAATTTAGATGGCTTCAAAAACGACTACCGGAAGAGCACCACCCTGTGGACCCCACCAAGAAAGGCCACCTCCAGCCACTTCTCCCCACGCAGCGGGGCGTACGGAACGGGCAGGTTGCTGCGGGCTCAGAGCCACGCCTTGTTCCACTTTCCTCCATCCTCTCCCCGAGAGGCCAACCTCACGGGCTCCCCATGGATAACCCACAGGGCAGCAAAACTCAAAAGCACCACATCTACTGGTTACACCCCCAACTCCAACCCCAAACCCCACCCCGAAATGTGTTCAGCTGTTACTGTGGGCTGTCCTTTGTCATGCTCTCGGCGCCTCGGCCCGCTCTGGCCAAGCTGCAAGGAGGTGTCTGCAAAAGGAAGGGGCCCATGTGGACCTCTGGGCCAGCCTTAACTGGGCTAGATCTATCTACCGCCAGTGGACCTGTGGGATAGAGTTTGCAGAGCGGGTGCAAAGGAAGATAAATGAAGATAAAGATTAGCTCAATTCCATCTGCCGCAGGATGACAGCCTGGAAACACCGCTGTGCTAGTTGAGGCGTTATGGGAGTTGTCGTTGCAAGCTCCACAAGGGACAAATCATCTCAGGGTGCAACAACAACCTGTAGCCTAAAGCTAGAAAATCCACTGGCTGTTCAGATACTTTGGTCAGCATCACACACAATTGGCAACTGCTGTCCACCCCAGGTGAGGCTGATGGGAGTTATAGGCGAAACCATCTGGATTCACAGTGGTTCCCAACCTTGGGTCCCCAGAGGTTCTTGGACCGCCACTCCCAGAAGTCTTCAACACCAGCTGTGCTGGTCAGGGTTTCTGGGAGTTGCAGTCCAAAAACATCTGGGGACCCAAGGTTGGGAAGCACATTTCCAGGAGTTGCAGATCAGGAACATCTGGGGACCCAAGGTTGGGAACCACTGCTCTAGAGGGTGAAATGTATGCCACCACTACTATTACCATAACAGGGAGCTAGCTGGCACTGAGGGCCTCCACCTTCCATGGGCATGTTTTAAAGAGGTTCTTCTCTTGTTCCCACCGCTTTCCCAAGCTCGTTTGGTGAGGACACAAGAGAGGGCCTTCTTGCCTTGTGGCTCCCAGGCTTTGGAATGAGCTGCCCCCAACAAGCCACGTTGGCCCTCCTCCCTCTTTCTCCTCCATCCCCAGGCAAAGACCTTCTTTTCCAGGCAGGCTTGGCTATGATCAGTGAACATTTCATAAACCCTATTTGCATGGAGTTTAGAAACTTTTAAATGCTTTTAACTGTGGTTTTAATATTGATAAAGGCTCAACTATTTTTAAATATAGGGAGTTTTTTTTTAACATTTGTCATTGATGTCCAGTTGTTGTGAGCCACCTTGGGTCCCCCATGAGGAGAAAGGTGGCACATAAACTACACAAATAATTATTTTTTAAAAATAAAAGCATCCCCATAATAACAACAAGCATGACACTGAATGCCTGTTCTAAGTGGCTTTCAGCAGTCCTTCAACACCCAGAACGATTTCTCTAAAACCAGGGGTAATCCATGGAACCAATTTACTTGGAAGGAAATCCCACTGAAAACAACGGGACTTATTTCCAGGTGAGCAAAGAAAGGGTCGAACTGAACTGATGAACAAAATCACACAGAGAAAAACGACACATCTGGCAGGTCGGTCTTTGCACAATTCCAAAAAAGCGCTGCTCTGGCATTTCAGAGGCTGGAGCAAGAAGGGAAGATTAAGAGCAAATGGCTGGATCGATTTCTTCCTTAATCTCTGCTCCCAGTGGGGCTCCTGAACGCTCAGACGGATGGGCTTTTAAACAACCCTTGCCGGAGAAGCAGCGGCGCAAGGGCCTTACACTGAAAGCGACACGGGCTACGTGTTGAGCCTATGAGCTCACATACTGTCGATTGATCGATCGAGTGGACCATTCAATAGAAAGAGACCGGAGTGGAAAGAAAACCCATGGACGGAAGGTGCTGCTCCTAACATCTCTCTGCATGCAGTCCTTCACAGGGCCAGCAAGGAAGGGACAGGGAGGGGTCGTTCACCAGGTTGAAGAGGGGCTGGTGGAGGGAAGAGGATACAAAGCAAAGTGGTCCCCTCTGATGGCCTTAATGGCAAAAGTGCCCTGTTAGAAGCCCATGTGATATGAACACAGAGGGGAAGAGAGAGACAATGTGAGACAGACAGCCTGGGCATCTATAGATGCGAGACAGACACTCTTCGTCTTTTCCAGATCTAGGTTCAGATTCCTTACTCAAGGCAAACTTCTTTCATGCTCTTCCAAGGTAACTTTCTACTTCTTTTTCCTCCTAGCTCAGGGGTGGATAAGGTGCAACTTGTGGAGAGCATGCTGCCCCCTAAGGCCATTTTGCAGCCTGTGGGGCCTCCTCAGCCTCTCCTTCCCAAACTGCAAGGGGGGAAAATGTCAAGACGAGGTCCAAAAACATTTGCAACGAAATTTGCACACAACTAGACCCGCAAGGGGGATATTTTATGACACAGTCATTTGAATCATTGTAAACAGTATCCCTGGGTTTAAAGCACTTGCCATATACATATTTTTTTTCTCTACAGGCAAAATCCCAGCTTTCCCCCCCCCACCGCCCAAACAGGGGAAAAATCGCATCTACTACATTTTGCCTTAGCAATTATCTCAGCTCCTGTAATGCACTGAGACAGAAAAATGCCTTGTATGTCATTTTCCTGCAAGTCATGATGATGAGAACCAGAAGTGCCAAATGCTGGGTGTCGGTAGGTTGGTCTTGGTGGGGGGGGCACCCTGGAATGGCCCACAGATCCTGAAAAGTTTAAACCCACAGATCCCCATTCCAATAAATTGAAAGTCTCACAGGGTCAGAAAATACCCCCAAACTTGCATCTCATTCAATGAAAGAGAGGTTTTATTTTTAAAAATCCCTGAAAGCTAAACATCATACTCCACATTCTTCTGGAGTGGAAACGGCTCACCTTCCAGGGGTTAAACCTTTCTGGTCTCAAGAACGCCAGCTCCTCCTGTCCCCCCCTCCCCTCCTGCTCCCTTCCCTGCACTTTTTCCTCCCCTTCTTGACATCGTAATAACTCTTCCCGCAGGTCTGCAGATAATTGCTCACTCCCGTGCTGAGATAATGGGTGACAATTGATGCGGAGCCTTTCCGCTTGCTCCAAACGACAGGGAGATTGGACCATGGCGATGTCAAGAGCCGGGCAGGAAGTCGCCACACCTGCCCCTGAAGTGGCTTTTAAGCCATTGTTCTCCCTCCCTCCCTCTCTCTCTCAAGGCTCTGTCAAAGAGGCATTGCTGACAAAAGGGGGCTGGAGATGTGGGGGGGAGCTGTGTGAGACTGGAAAGAAGAAGGAAAAATAAAGAAAAAGCCAACTATTTGAGGAGCTACAAGGCGACAACAAAAGACTCCTGGAGGTGGCCGAAGAGAAGACAGTTACGCCGGAGATAAGCCCCCACCCCACCCCCGCATCAAGGGTGTAAAATCCCCAGTCCGCCCTGCCTGGGGCAAATTCCCCTCCCGATGCCTCCCAGGGCTATGCGATTCTTCTCTCAAATACCCAACCACCCTGCTTTAGCCCAAAAGCCCACATGATCCTTAAAATTCTAGCTGGTCCAGGGTGGTTCCGAAGGGAGAAGGAAAGGATTGCCCGGATGGAGATACTGTAAATATACACACACACCCCTCCGCCAGACCAGGTTACCTGTGAGCTTCAGGAAGGGGCGCTTCCCCTTGTCCAGGCACTTCCCCTGAACTGAGTGGGCTGAGGAGCGACAGCTTCTCCCCCAGGTTTCTCTCCAGCTGTTCGTCCTCCCAGGTTTGCTTCCTATGGGTTGGAAAAGACACAACAGCCATGGGAGAAGGAGGCCATGGGCCTGAATGCTGGTGATCAGGCATTTGCGGGGAGGGGAGAAGGCAAGTTTATTTTTAAAAGCTCCCAGCGAGGGAGCCAGGCGGTTCTCAGGGGGCAAGATGTTCCAAAGGCGAGGGGCCTTTGGAACATTTCTAGTTTTTTCGTTCCAGACCTTTCTTGGAGTTAAGCCCTTCAGCTGCCCAGCCTGACTAGAATGAGTGACATGGGTAGAACTAGGTGGAAAAATGTGCTCTGACAGGTTATCAAGTTTCTAAACCGTTTAGGGCTTTATATGTTACCATTAGAACCTTGAAATTGATGTGGAATCTAATGCAAAAGGCTGGTAGAGACCATGAGCCTTCCGAGGGAGCCTTTCGGAGTCCCAAAGGGGTCAAAGGTTGGGGAAGACATCAATCCAGTGGTCTTCCCTCCCTCTTCTGCCACCCCCCGGACAACCAGCCTGCAGGAGGGGGGTCGTCCCACTCGGCCATTTCCTTTCACATCATAGATACCAACAGAGCTGTCCAGCTCTCCACAAACCTTACCTTCTCTCCTCCAGGAGCTGATCGAGGCTGCGGAGATAACCATCGGAACGTGAAGGGAGGAACTAGAGACAAAAGAGGAAAAGGATCGTTTCAGCAGCTTGACCTACGGCAGGCCTGCACGACCCTTGACCACCACGCAGGGTGGGGTGGGGGGTTCTCATCAAAACAAATGCGATTTGATGGACTAGAACTCCCAGAATCTCCCAGCCAGGCTTAGCTCAAAGAATAACTTTTCCAAGATCTGATCATTAAGTGGGAGTTGACCAGAGTTCAGCTCAAGGAAGCAGGCTTAAGGACAGACCCGGCACAACCAACACAGAGCCAAACACAACCCGGTGGCCACTGACGGCAGCCCATCGGCCAGTTCAATCCACCTCCTGGTCGTTCTCCACCCATCCCCTGGCAAACCTGCTCTTGCAGGACCTGAACTTTTCTACGGAGGCTTGTTCAGGAGAGAATGCCCTGGTGCCCTGCAAACCTGCTGCTCCTAATCAGAATGGGCAAGGTCATTTTTTAAAACATAATTTGCTCCTGTTGCTTACTATGGCATTCCCAAAGCAATTAGGTGGTGGTGCCCTTTACAAATGTCAAAAGGTGAATGGCAGGATGGCTCATTATTTTTTCCATTCTCTCTTTGAGAAAACCAACCACTTAGGATTGATTACAGAAGAGCATAAAATTGGGGGGGGGGGAATGCCATCACGAGACCCTAAAATGCCTTAAAGTGCTCTTTAAATTAACCTTTAGAAGAGTAACTTTTCCCCTTATTGCACTACTCTTGAAATGCAACTTCCTTACACAATTGCTATAATTTCTGTTTAAAAAAATCTTGTTAGTCATTGCAGATAACTACCTGCACTAAACGTAACTTGTTATTTTTAAGCTCTGCCCTCACAGGACCCCCTGGGCCAAGTGAGCACAAGGGAGGTGTATTACGAGACCGGGAATAATGCCGGCATACTAACTAAGGATGCATCCCCACTCGTTACCGTGGTTTGATTCCACTTGAACTGCCCCTGGCTCTTTAGACAGAATCTTGAGATGCGTCCTTGGTTGAGAAACATCTCATTCTCTCTCCAAGGGTTCCAATACCACCTCCCGAACCACAACTTAAAATTCCATTCACAAATCCCAGAACTTCTTAGGACGATTCAAGCGGAGTCAAACTGTTCCAACTGTGCGGTGCATGGAGATACCCTTCAAAGCCAAAGCTATGCAACTGCACCCCAAACCTTGCGTTGTTCCCCCAGTTGGCACGCCCTTCTTCCTTAGGCAGCATGCGGTTCCCATCCTTCTTACCCTGGTGTGGGGTTCCACAGCCCCGAGATCCATGCTGCTCATCTGCAGGAGCTGTTTGAGGGGCAGGAGGCCGCTGTCATCAGGACCCTCTTCCATGGCCGCATCCTGGGTCAGCCCCTCGGGGCCCTCAGAGAGCTCGTTGGAGGATGCCGAGAGGCTGCATCTGGAGGACGTCCTGGACGATGCTATCAGGAGATGGGTGGGGATCGATGAAGCGGGAGACTCTGGCCCCTGGTCTCCTTCCTCCTCTGACTCAGAGTTTGGGCTCTCCAGATCTCTAGAAAACTCAACAGAGACCGTTGAGAGGCCGCTTCTAAGGCAGACAGGGGATGACGCTGCCCGTGGATGAATGGGAGACAGTAACGGTGGATGTTCTCCAACACCAAAGGCCTTCCCGTCCTCCATTTGGATTTCATTCCCCAGGGTGGCTCCTTCTCGCTCCTCATTTACCGCTTGACAAAAGACTGACACAGGATGTTCCAGACTTGCCCGCCCTCTACTTTCACACTCCTTGCGTGGCTGGATGAAGGGTCCTCCCCAGGAATGCACGTGCCCTCCTCCTGCTGGTGAGAAAGCTTCGGCGGTGAGCTCCAGCACTGGAGGTTCAGCTGGCCAGGTGGAGACCTCTGCCATCTCTCTGGAGCTTGGAGACTCGGGGTCAGGCCCTGGGGCAGGGCTCAGAGGAGGTGGACCCCTATCATACAGGAATTCTATCCGTGGTGGGCTCCAGTCTGGAGGAAATTCGTAGTCCTCTTCTTCCAGCGGAGAGGAGGCACCGACCCACCTCCCGAAGCCACTGTCGCCTCCGGCGGCCTCTGCTAGGGGCCAGCTGCTGCAGGACGAGGAACGAGAGGGGCCAGGAGCATCAAAATGCAGGTCCTGCTCAAAGCGTCCAGGGTCTACCTGCTCCTGCTTCTTGCTGCAGCTGCTACCAGGTTCCTCGCCCTGCAGCTGACCAAGGGTTTTGGGATGGGAGACACGCCTCTGTGAAGAGCGAGCGGATGAACTGCATGTCCGATGCCTCTTGTGCATTCGTTGAGAAAACGTCTGAGGTTCTGGAGAAGAGACAGGGAGGAGTTACTGCTGAGACTCCAATTCAACAGGACCTCAAAAAAGTTGCAAACTGTGGGGACTAAGTGCCGCAGTGCTAAGAATCATGGCTTCATCCTGATCGGGTTTTTTTTTAATCAGCAAGTTTCTAGCCCTTAAGGTTGGAAAGATGGGATTGAAAGTATATGTACAACCTTAGAAGCCGCTGGTGGTTGTGGTGGGAGGTGGATACTATCTTTAAGGCTCAAAAGGAAGGATTCCTATGCATTTGATAGTTTATTTGTTTGTTTTATTTAAAATATCTTCTGCCCCACTTTTCTCCTTAAAAAGGGCCCAAGGCAACTTACACCATTAAAAGGCAATATTTCAATGCTCGCAACAGTGAGTTTACAAATACTAAAAGAGACCGAACGAACAGCATATTTTAAAAAGCATAAGCAACACCAAAAGACGTTCAAAACAGTAAGGTACAAACTTCACTCAGGGAGCCAGTCCCTGGTCATGCTGGCTAGAGATTCCCAGAACTTACTTAAGCTCTGTCGCCTAATCAGAGGACACTTCCTGTGCCCACTTCAAAGTATCGCTGTCAGACACCAGACACTGAATGGGTAGTCTCTGAGTTTGTGGGTTAGGCAACTTAGCCTTTGGAGATGCCTGCCTTTGTTCAAGCGCAGAAGGGAACGTGAAAGCTTGGAAGCCTGGAGATCGCCAGGGAATAGCACGCTATACCAAGAAGGGTCTGCCACTCAGAGCATGAGTAGAAAGTACTAGGTTCCATATGCCACGTCTTCGGGCAGGGCTCTGAAAGGACTCAGCCTGGAACCCTGGAGAGCCCTGGCTGTCAGTCACAGTGGGGCAAGACTGGGCGAGATGAACCCACATCCTGATTAAGTAGACAGCCCAGGGCACGACCCTGTTCTTGTTGCACAGCCCTGCACGGCATCGGTCCACACCGAAGCAAATTCAGTGAGTGGTGTTCTTCTATGCTATATATTAATTCACGCCACTCCCACCCTGAACCCCTACCTGCCCAAAGTCTACTGATTTCAGAAACAAGGAAGAAACAGGCAAAGTTAATAGTTCAAGGGAGGACCACTGCAGAAAACAAGGGATCTCCAGTGAGGACGAGGAGAAAACCTACCTGAAACCCTGAAAAGACCCTATAAATCAGGGCTGATCATTCTGGACATGACAGACTTACAGAAACGGATTGAGTCCATATAGAGCCTTTTCTGATGTTCCCATCCATACCTAAAACATCTCTGACCAGAGGGCCCTCCACCCATCATCAAATATCAATGTTTAAAAATTGTATAGAACAGTTCATATGGTTTCATTCCAGGATTGCTGCCTTTCTAGAGTCAAAAGGGTATTTAGAGAAGGAAATTTAAGCCAGAATTTTTTTTAAGTGAAAGCTGTAGTTAGGTAACATTTCAGTGGGCACAGCACCCCCTGCTGGATCCTCAGCCATTCCCAGGACATTCTGTTTTGGGAAGTCAAAACTCCAATTCTGAACAAACTGCAATATTTGCTAGTAACACCCTGTCCTGGATAACCCCCACCATTCACTTCAAGGGAATCTAGCCTTATGAAAGGGGGAGAAAAACCCATCTCTGCTTTTTCTACATCACGCATACTATAATTTTATACACTGGCACAGTGTCTTCTTTTACTTGTGTTTTCTCTTTTCCCAAAACTAAACGGGATCAATTGATTTGTTTGAAATGTAATGCTGGAGGAGAGCTTTGTGGATGCCCTAGACTGCCAGAAAGACCAATAAGGGAGTCCTAGATCAAATCAAGCCTGAACTTGCTCTGGAGGCAAAAATGATGAAATTGAGGCTGTCTTACTTGGGGCACATTTTGAGAAGGCAGGATTCTCTGGAAAAGACCATCATGCTGCGAAAGGGGGAAGGCAGCAGGAAAAGAGGGAGACCCAACACAAGATGGACTGACTGCCTAAAGAAAGCCACAGGGTTGAGTTTACGAGAGCCGAGCAGGGCTGTTGAGGACATGGACCTTTGGGAGATGGCTCGTTCATAGGGTCGCCATACATTGGAGGTGACTTGACAGCATATAATAACAACAACAAAACAGAACCAAATGCTGTAGCTTTTATAAGCATTTCCTTCCCATTTTGGATTGCTGAAGCCACGCAACATAGTTTAGATCTTTACCTTCTCTATGAGATGAAAGCCTTTTGCTGCCTTTTGCTTCTCCAGCTCCCGAGGGTCTGCGATTGTCACGCTGTGGGACAGATTTGGTATCAAGAAAAAAAAAGGATTTAGTCATTGCTGTTAACTGGGCGGAGGGGTAGCCAAGCTCCAGAGAGCAGGGGACCAATCTTCTGGCCACGGGACCTTCCGGGGGGGGGGAGCATCAACCCTTCCAAGTTAAACTGGACATCATTTGGAGGAAGGGAACCCTGGTTCTACTTTAGAGGACATCCCTCACTTTTTTGACAAATTGTTTTAGAAGAGAATTGCACCCCAGAAATATGATTTTCCTGCTGGGGTTGTGGGGGGGGGTCTAGGAACTATATGGGCAGGATATAAATCAAATCAATAAATAAATTTAGAGCTCTGCCACTGGAGGCACGAATCCCACCCCATCCAGCCTCAGGCTGCTTCTGCATTGTGTCCTGCATGGCACGGCTGCCTCATTGCAGACACTCTCTTCATACCCTTCACTCTACAAAACACCCCCTTCCAGCTTGAAAGCCTTTAACTGCCTGAATGTGCACAGCTTTCCCTCTGCAATCAACAGGGCCAGATGCTTGATTTACTTTTGAACATCACGTGCCTGCAGGAATGACAAGGTCGTACTGCAACACTGGCAACTTGATTTATTTACCAGTCAGAGGCCCAAGAGCTGCTTGGCCAGCTGCTGCTCTGGAAAAGCACCCTCCCCCCAGCCGGTGCAAAGAACCTGCTTTCTCCTTTTGCCCACCTCTATCTGGGGAGCGCTTGTGCTTCACGCTGAATGCTCACCCGCTTGTGGGATGCTCTCTGAGAGCTGTCCGTGAGCAATGCGGGCAATCTGGGGAGAGGTAGGATGGAAAACGGCTGGCCGACCTTCAGCCTCTTGGCCTTCCGAAGCTGCTGGTACTCTTGCAGGCTGGACTGAAAGGTGAAGCTGAACAGACCGGCTTTGGGCTTCCTTAAAGAGGACAAGGGGATCTGGAACCAGCGGATATTCCTCCTGGTGCGGAAGAGCTCCAGGCTGTAGGATGTCTTCTTCGGTGGACGCACCGGAGGGATGCTGCTGGCTTCGCGGGTGGGGAGGTCCAGGCACATCTCTTCCACAACCTCCTCCGAGGCCCCCCGTTCATTGCCGGACAGAGAGGAGCCCCCCGACTCTGGTTTCCCGGTGTTCTTCATAGGCGCCTCAAAGAGTCCTTGTGCTCTGCTACGGAGAGCAGGGACAGCTTAGCCTCTTTTGCTTCAAGTTGGCTTGAAGGAGCTGGGAAGTCCTGCCCTTGTCCTCGCTCCCTGGCCCTCTCCCTCTGCCTAAGACAACGGGACGGAGGTCTGAGCAACAGCAGCTTTTATCTTAAGGGAGGAACCCTTAGGAAGCTCACTGGAAGACTCCTCCAGCCACCTGGCAAGGAGGAGGGGGGGAAAAAAGACAGAATCAATGGAAAGTCTTTCTTTATACAGAGAACACACTCCCTAATTTGGATGTATATCTCTTTTGGGCTTGCAACAACCATCAGGTTTTGCATTGTCTCTTCAGGAGTGGGCATGTCTCCTGGCGGTGGAGGAAAATAAAATGGGAGGCAGGCAGAAAAAGCAAGAAGACACGATCTTGGGGGCATGAGACACCTGAAAGGGCAACGACATATAAAATGTTTTCCCATTAGTGGTAAAAAAAAACCCACAAGTATTGTTGCTCGATCCCTATATTCTCCCTGCCAGCATAGTCTGCCATCTCCTCCTGATTTTACTTGCCATGAGTTATGCACCTTTGAACATGTGGCAGGCTGGCAGGCAATAAGGGATGCAGTGTTTCAGCAAATCTCTCCCGGGATGTCGGGACATTTTGGAGGTCTTTGAGTCCAAGTCTTGAATCCCTATTAAAAAGAAGCCTCCCCACCCCCACCCCCCAAAAAAGAGGGAGCAGTGGGTAGGTTACGAGTCAAGTCAGAGTCACTAGAAAATAAACCCAGCGTCACCAGGACGAATTAAATCCAATTTGACAGCATGTCCCACGACTCAAGTTTCCATCACTGCTAATCTGCTCTCTTCACCTACCAACTTAGCATCAAAATGATCTATTTTTTAAAAGAACAGAACACCTGTGAAGATATACTGTATGTGCATGCTTTTCTCCTATTGCTGTAAGGAGCAGGTTCTTTAATGGATTGCTTGCTTGGATGTAAGATGCAAAAGGGCCAAGAACTGCTGTCTTAGAAGAGCAATTTCAGGCTCCCAAAGGTTGCTGGATTACAACTCCCATCAACCCTACCAATGGCAAGCCGTGGTGACAGAGGATGGGCCCTGCAGTACAGTAGCTCAAAAGATCACAAGTAGTTGGCTTCTGGCTGATTCTAGTTGTTTAGGGTTAAGTATTGCCTCGCTCAGCATGCACCACCTCAACGAAAGAGGTGCGGAATCAAAAATCTGAACAAATCCAATCCCCATGAAGGCCACCTCAAGGGCCACGGAAGGAGAAGGGGACACAATGGTATGCAATATGCTTGGAAACTCAATTGGCACCATACCTACATTGTGCATCATTTTAGACATTCTGAGGGTGCCAGTGTGGTCTAGGGGGCAGAGTGATGGACTAAGGAGACCTGGGTTCGAATCCCCGCTCCGCCATGGAAACTCACTGAGAGGCATGTGTGTGACAATGGTAAAACCACTCCTTCAAAACCACATAGACTTTGAAAACCCTATTAGGGTTGCTATAAAAGTCACACAAGACTGGAAGGCACAGAAGCGAAGCAAAAAAAAGTATTGAGCAAAACCCCATTGTGTAGCTTTACACCGACGGAATCCGGACTGAAAATGGGAAATGTTTCATTTCAAGCTATGGACAGGTTCCTATTCCACCACTACGTACAGTAGTTTCCTGTTTGAAGGCTCCCCACGGCTCCCGTTTCCCCCTTGGGTAGCTTTCTGGAGCCTCAAGATGGGGGTAGGAGGCAAGACTTTAATAGGAAAAAATAGCCACACAACCCCAAACCCAGCAGCAGTGATTTGACAGTGATGGTGATGGTGATGATGATGATTAAGGCTCACCACCAGTGTCCTGAGGCTCCCAGATACTTCCCCAGGGCAAAGGGGATCTCTCGGGAGTCTGAGAACCTGAAGGGGTGGGACAAGAATCTTTCAATGAGTTGAAATCCAACTTTTCTGGCACTTTACCTGGGATAGACCAGCACAAAGCTACCCAAATGGCATTTCCCCATTATGTGCCAGGATTTATTATTCCCACCCTGCCCGTGAAAGGCATCACTTCCATGCAGCAAAACAGACCATCCATCAATGAATTCAGGTTTCTGAATTGCCTGCCGCTCCATCTCATGTTCCAGGATACGGCTCATTAGGTTTTGCAGAGCTACAGCAGGCAAGAAGACACAAAGCCCTCCGCCGGCTCAATCATGGGGCTTTCATGGGACAGACAACAAACAACTGGAATTTTAGGGGGAAACTGTCTGGCATCGTCCTGAAAGGGACCTGTCACAGCAGCACAGCAGAAAACGTTTTTTAAAAAACATTTGGAAAGTTTGAACTGGGAAGCCAGTTCTAGCAGGGAGGGTTATCTGGGCACATAAAACACCAAGACTTGGTTTGCTTCTGGCCAACAACTTCAAGGTCTCTCAGATAATCTGTATCAAGGCGGCACCAAGCCAGACTCCTTCTCTTCCATGGAACGTTTACACTGTTGAATTTCACATAAGTTCCTTATTTATTTCAGCGGGCGGCAGGATTCTCAGAGCTGCCGTCCACAGGAGTAAAATTCCCTGCCTCTGAAGTTGCTTGGCCCTGCTTGTAAGGAAGGAAGAGGGGCTGTTTTGATTGATGCTTCTGTAGCATGCCACCAAGTTGCCCCTGACCAATGGCGATGCCACGAGCGAGTGATCTCCACAATGCCCTCTCCTCAACGGCCCTGCTCAGCTCTTGCAAAGCCGCCTAGAGTGGTTATAATTGACCAGATAGGCGGGATATAAATGGAATAAATAAATAAGCCTGTGGCTTCCTTTAGAGAGTCAGCCCATCTCATTATTGGTCTTCTTCTTTTCCTGCCGCCTTCCACCTTGCTCAGCATGATTTGTCTTTTCCAAAAAATCCTGCTTTCTCATGATGGGCCCAAAGGAGGACAGCCTCCACCACCTAATTTTTGCTTTCAGAGAGAGTTCTGGCTTCATTTGATCTCGGATCCAGTTGCTCATCTTTCCGGCAGTCCAGGGGGTCTTCAGAACTCTCCTCCGGCACCACTTTTCAAATGAATCATTACACACATACACATGCCAGCTTTCTTATCTGTCCAGCCTTTATACCCATACATGGTGACTGGAAATAGAAGAGGGTGAATGATCTGGGTCTTTCTTGATCTCCACTGACACATAATGATCTTTTCTAGTTCCTTTATTGCTGTCCTTCTGAGTCTCAGTCTTCTTCTGATTTCTTGGCTGAAGTTGCTAACTGCATTGAGGATTGAACCGAAGTATACAAAGCCTCCAACTATTTCAGTGACTTCATTGTCAATGCTAAATTTGTACAGTACTGTACTTCTGTAGTCATGATTTCTGTCTTCTTAACGTTCAACTGCAGTTCTGTTTTGGCGCTTTTTTTCTTTTGTCCACTAATCCACTTGTGTGCGCTCTCTCTCTCTCTCTCTGCCAAACAGAACTCTCCTTTAACTGCTCGCTTTCCTGAGACCAGAAAAGGGAAGGGAAGAAGAAAGGTAAGGCCAGGGGTTTAGAGGAGCAGTCTGTCTTCCATTTTGATCTGCTGTCCTTCATTTTGTCTGGTCAAGCAGTGTTCCCATAGTTTCGAGATGCAGCAAAGACAGTCGAGCTGAATTCAGGGTGTTTTGGGAAATGAAGGGAGATGAAGATAGCAGATGTGCTTATCAAACGCCGCTAACAAATTTAATTATGCATACCTGATCGTGGTGGGACACTGAAATGGGAGGAAGCAGTTCATATGCATGCATCGCTCTTCAAAGAATATAAACCAATAATGAATTACCCAGCTGCAACTTGTTGTTGTAAACGGCAAAAATATATACAGATTGTTTCTTTTTTCACCCAATGGACAATGAGACTTCTTCTCACGACTTGTGAGTCACACTGTCATCTATTCCACCTTATTGGGTACACCTGAGTAAAGGTGTAAAGCTACCCAGTAAACTCATCTCCTCGGAAATAAACCTGGAGCTTGTTTATTGTTTCCTCAGGATCCTCTCAAATCCTGCTCCCACAACCAGGGAGGTGTTAAAACGCTCCACCATAGGACTAAAGACTAAGAAGCACCTATCTGAAATTTTCTTACCTGTTATTCAGCAAAAAAAATTCAGAACCATTTGCTGCTATTATATGCCATTAACTCACATCTGACTTGGGATGACCATAACAGGACTTTCAAAGTATGTGAAATGTTCCAAGGAGTAGTTTATGGATGCCACAACCCAGTGAGTTTCCGTGGCCAAGGAGGGATTTGAACCCAGGCGTCCTGCGTCCAAGTCTGTGACTATCTACTTCACCATGCTGGCTCACTGAATCATAGATAAGCAGATTAGCACACTTAAGGCAGGAAAAAAAAAAGGAAATCTTGGTTTAATTTAGTATCATGAATTCAATACAGAGACCCTATGTCAAATTTTGGGCAGAAACGGGCCTCTACAGGGCATTTGCAGAATACCCAGTCTTAACCACTCCAAGGCCCTAAATTTATTTTATTTTATTTCTTAGATTTATAGTATGTCAAATTTTGGGCAGAAATGGGCCTCTACAGGGCCAGTCTTAACCATCACCCCATCAAGGCCCTAAATTTGTTTTATTTATTTTTTTCTTAGACTTATATACCACTCCATTAGTGTAATGCACTATTCTGGGTGGTTTACAACAGTAAAACAAATACAGTTGAACTACAAATTCCCAAATATGCAAGTAGAAAGTTAAAAACAGACAGCAGTAAGACACATTGCACTAATGGTAGGTTCACAATAAAACAGCAGGAGAAGAGGCATAAAGTCCAGAAGGGTAAATGTGGAGGGCCTCCCTTAAAAGCAGAGTTTTCCACTGCCTTCTAAAAGTTCTCGGAGGGGAACAGGCGTCGCTCTACCAGGAACCGGTTCCACAAAATTCCACCTCCTTTGGGGTGGATACAGGAAAATGAGGTTCCACCAGGAATTAAACAACTTCCTCCATCAGTCTCTGTCTAGACCAGTTCACCCAACGTCTGTGAAACCACACAATATGGAAACTAACAGAGAGCTATTCATATTTATCAGCCCTGTCAGATAAAGAAGGTCTAATAATTAATGAAATAAGTTTTTCAGACTACAGTACTCCACAAACCAGGGATGATAAAAATAAATTGTGTTAAAAAAGCAAACTAATTTAAATTGTGACTTAAATAAAAAACTTGATTTTTAAATTTAAATAGTCAAACAAATAATCTGATTTTTAAATTTTCATCCTGATTTAAATCCTGATTAAATGCATTTGATTTAAACCGTGACTATATCAATTTGATCTAAACCATGACTAAATCAATTTGATTAAAATCAAATCCACCCTGCTCCTATTTTTTATTTATTTTTATAAACAGATACAACAACAAAAATAAACAAAAATACAAATGATCGTGCTTGCTACACACTAAATTCTGCCGTGCACTCCATACCCACAGAACACCATTGAACAATATTTTTATTACAAACTTCCTTTCCAAAATTGAATAGATTGTATTATTTCACTAATACAAATTCAACAAATCTACCCCAAATAGCATTAAAAAAATTAGAACTTATTTCCCCTCTTTTCATCTTGAGTTCAATACTCAATTTATCATTTAATGCAATGTCCCATACTTTGCCATTACAATCTTCTAATTTAATATCATTTTTGTCATTCCAAAACCTAGCTATTAATATTCTAGCACTTCCACCCGGCTCCTAACGAAGTGAAAAAGCAGATCAGCAAGGATAAACTGGAACCTAGAAGCAAACTTCCATGGGAGAAACTCAGAAATAGACAACAGAACCCCTATAGCTTTGAACTTACTGCTCCCACCTATAACTGTATAAATGCACTGTTGTTAGCAATCTGTGGCCTGTTTTGCACCATCACAGTTCTCTTTCCTCCAGGGGGGGGGCTTATACTTACAGAGACCCACCTGAAAAGAAAACTCTCCAGCACCACAGGCCTTGGAACAGAGATACCGAATCCAGATCCTGTTGCAAACCCAGATGTCAACTTGGTCCCTGTATCAACGCAAGAAACACTATTAAAAAACCTAAAAATGCTACCCACAAGATCAGGGTTCGCAGAGGGCTGTGAAACTCTGCTTTCAACTAAAACAGTCTGGTGAGCAGAAACCATTGCTTTAGCATCTCCTAATTTATTTATTTATGTTCTGTATTGATTTAAAATATTTTGCCCTGCCTTTTCTCCTTGAAAAGGACCCAAGGCAGATTACAACATTGAAAGGCAATGTTTACAGCCAAGAACAACGAGTGCGAGAGGAATCTTAGGTCACTAAAAGGCAATATTAAAGCTACGTCTTGTGTAACTGACCAGACCGTGCCAGGATGTTTATTTTAACCTGCCTTTCGATAGTTTATAACTAGTGTTAAATATACATTTCTTTATTGTTGTTATTTTAGTGATGTTTCATTGATTTGTTGTTATAGTGTTGAATATATACATATACACATACTGTATCATTTTCAGCATTTCATTTCACTCCACCCCACACCCTTTAACCATTCTGCATATAAATCTATCAAACTGTGGGCCATAGCCTTCCGTTATACAGGGAACCCTTCTAAACCTCCTCATGCAAGGGGGAATCCATTGACCCCTTGAGCAAGCATAAAAACCTGGTTGCTCGTGAAGGGGTCTCTTCCTTACACAACTTCAAGCTGGAAATGTCCAGGACAAACACTGAATTCTCCAAGGGCCAAGCGTTTGCATGCTGTGTTTTTGAACAGAATATTGCTGAAATACTTGCCCCTCTCACTATTCCACAGGGACTAATTTTTTTCTATGCTTGAATGCACTCGACAACCTTTAAATGACTCTTTTAACCACCGCCACTGAGATTTCTACCTGTCACCCCCAAAAGTCTGTCGATGTCCCTTAACTCAGTGGTTCCCCGCCTTGGGTCCCCAGAAGTTCTTGGACTAAAACTCCACCACTTGCTGCTCTGGCCAGGATTTTTGGGGACCTGAGGTGGGGAAACCCCTGTAGCCGTCACAAGGTTGGGCCTCTTGCATTTCCATCACAGGCCATCCCATCCTCTTCACTTCTCCGTCCCTTGTGCACAGGCCTCTCTACTGCTCCTGCACATCTAAAGTCCACAAAAACCTATGCTTAATACGCATAAGCCTTAAAAAATACTTTACTGGTTTTTGCAGATTAAGATGGCTACCTCTTTTACAGAAAAAAAGCAGTTTTTTTCTGGAACAGATTAAGATGGCTACCTCTTTTACAGAAAAAAAGAATTGCACAAGCCATACTCTCTTTGCACTACAATTCCCAGTATCCCCCCAGCCGGCTGAAATCCTTCTAGTCCTCGTGGTCCGAACGGGCAAGGAATCATCCTCTTCCCCCACCACCCAGAGCAGCTGAGAGCCACCCGTTTGCAGGGGTAGGGATGCTGTTACGCTCATGGCTGGCTTGGGGGTGTCCCACTGGTTTAACTGGTTGCTCCCTGGAGGGGAGCTGGGGGGGGAAGCCCAAGGTCTCTCACCCAGAGGGCCTTGTTCTTCGGTGCCTGCAGCCTGGTTTTTGGGTGGCTGCTGGCCCGGTTCAAGGGCTTCCATTTGGAACCCAAGAGGCGGAGAAGAAGAATTGGGAGCGACGACCCCCCTCCCAAGAAAAAAAACAGAGAAAGGGGAGGCCACAGGGAGCAGGCCCTGCCCTCTCTGGCCTCAGCCTCAGCCTCCCCCCCTCCAGGGGGCGCCTCCAGCCCCGCCGCTCCAGAGCCCCCACCTCCTGCTCGCTCTCGGGGCGCTTTCAAAAAATAACCCCGATCAGTTACTCATGCAGAGACGTTCCGCTCCCGAGGGAGCCAATGAGCAGCCGAGGAGGGAGCCTGGCAACACGAGAACCAATCCGGCCGCGTCCTCCTCGCGCTGGATTGAAAAAAACCGGAGGCGAGTGGGGGGGCGGGGCAAAGGCTGGGCTCTTCGGCCAATCCCTGGCCTGGATTCAGAAGGCGCGCCTGGGAGACGCGCGGGGGCCGCGTGCCGACGCCTGCCCTGCACGTAGGTGCAACGTATCCAAGACTGGGCTTACCAGTGGTTGGGCAGTGGGCTCTCAAGGGTTGCTGAGAGTCCCTATAGGTCAGTGGTTCTCAAACTTGGGTCCCCAGAGGTTCTTGGGCTGCAGCTCCGAGAACAGCGAGTGGGGAAGGCTTCTTTCTGGGGGGTTGCAGCCCAAGAACCTCGTGGGGACCCCCCAAGGTTGAGAACCACTCACTGGTTTGGACGGTTGGGCGGTGCAAGGTTCGTGAGCGGTGCAACGCAACCAAAGGACAATCTCTGAAGGCTCGGCCTGCCTCGCAGGGGTGTTGTGAAGTACGAAGCAGACGGGGGTGGAAGCCCTGGATAGTGCTTGGAGCTTGCTGGAGGAGGAGAACCACCCGTGGCACCTTGAAGAGCCAACCATTTTGCATTTGGGATCAAAAGCAAAAGTGTGCTGCTTATATACCGCCCCATAGCGCTTCAAGCACTCTCCGGGCGGTTTACAAGTTGAT